ATTTTACTTTCACTTAATGCGCAAAAGGATTTAAAAATATTTAATACATATTTGAAGTCAGTTGGCACAGTTAATAGACTCTACAGTTAGAACATAATCAGTGACTATAAGTAAACGAAATGGAATGGAAATGGTTGGAAAATGGGATTGTAGGTGGGAGGTGGGAGGGAGAGAGCTTTGGTAACTGTAGTGTGTACGGCACTCAGACGCAGTAGTGCAATAAGTCAAGTTATCAAAGTTAATAATTCTTAATGTTAGTGCATAAATAAGACGAGGGCAATGAGGAATGACAGGCGTACACCAAGACAGAGGACATGTCACTGGCAATACCCATAAATGTATGCCACATGGCAGTCAAAACGCAGAACTTCAAATAAATACAAAGATGAAATTTAAAATTTATGCAAAAGACAGATGAAAAAGAACCGATGTCGTAACAAGAAACAAAAAAAAAACAAACTTCTTGGCTAATTTGCATAAAAAAATCGGTTAGCGGCAAACGAATGTCGATGTGTGTTTTGTGAGTGTGTTTTGCCTGTGTGCGTATGTGTGTGTGTGTGTGTGTGTGTATGTGTGTGTGTGTGTGTGCGTGTGTGCGTCTGTGTGTGTATTTGTGTGTGTGTTTTTCCTGTGTTGGGTGAGGCGGCAAATATGAAATTTGAAAGTGTTTATGCTGACATCGCGACATAAGAATATATGGGAATGAATGTACACACATCTGTATTTATACTACACCCACTCAGCTATCCAAAATGTAGAAATGTTTGCTTTTATTTTGCCCAAGCCTCTGTTGTTGGCTAATAGCACACACACTTTGCTTGAAGCACTAAAGTATAAATGCCACTAAAACCCCAACAATAAAGCGCACAACGATCTATGCACATTTGTGGGCGTTTGTGTGTGTGTGTGTGTGTGTGTGTGTGTGTGTGTGTGTGTGTGTGTGTGTGTGAGCAAGTGTGAGTCCCAAAAAGAATGTGTCACTGACCATTGCCACAAGGTTAGCTTTGTGGTCAAGTTAACAGTTATCGGCTTTGGGTTTAGTTTTATGTCTTGCAGCACATATGTTATTGCCCATTTTGGTAAGCCTTGCCAGTGGCAAAATATTTGGAATTATAATTTATTTGAATGCAAAAAAGTTTATTGTGCCATGAATACGTTAAATAACGTATTGTTATGAATTGATATTTTACATATATTTAATGAGAAACGAAAAGAAACGTTTACGAATAGATTAAATACTGTGTTCACTTGAAGTAAAAGTTACTTAGAATTTTAAAACACAATTTTTCCACTCCAGTTAATTGCTGTTTTAAAATATAATCGTATACTTGCTACCTTCAACTCAAAGTCATAAGATTGTTTCTGTTCTCCAACGTGGAAATATAAAAGTTAAGTAGCCCCTAAAGCATTAAGATAATTAGCTCAGTTCGTGTCTAGCCTCAGTAAAAGGGATTTTTTTTTTTAAGAAGTTGCTGCTCCCCCTAATCTGGTTACTTGTTAGGAACTTATACATTTAAGCCAGAAGGCACAATGCGTCAGAAAGTTCATTGTGCCACATTTCATTTGGCTAAAAGTGTGCGCCTGTTAGCCATAAATGATGGCCTCGAGCCAACCGAGCAACGATTGCATCACTTTTCGACGCAAACACTGGACAAGACTTGAGCGAACACGTTGCAGTCAAGGATGCTGCAACGGTTAATGCTGTTAGCCACCCCAATTGGGAGTTGAATCAGTTGGATGAGTGGATGTGGGCAGGAGCGAGTTATAAATCTGCTCTCCAAGGTGATTATAAAGCCTTTTTTTTTGTTGCAGTTTGTTATTGTTGTACGGTGAATTCTAGTGAAATGTTGGCAAGTCATATTTTGATTCTATTATTCAGAATACCTTACAGTTGGCTGACTGAATCTCATTATAAAAATAAATCTATTTTTAGAGACATACATTTAGATACTGCTGCTGGCAATAAGTTTGATTGCTGCTGTGCTGTGTCTGTCAGATCGGTTTCGCTTGAATCATTTAATTTTAAATTACTTTTGTGCTATATTTTATTTGTAGCTCTTTTATGCTGCTGCTGGCCTTTTATTGTGCCCTTTGCCATTTGCCGTTTGCCACTTGCATTGAATTGCTGAACTGTTACAGCTACACCTACTACAGAGCTTCAACCACCCCATCTCCCCCTTCTCACCCGCACACGCTTTAAGCCATTACCCATTACCCTGTACCCATTACCCATTGCGCTTGACAGGCCGCGTTAAAATCTCTGCTGACCGGAAACTAATTTGAAAATGTTATTCATTATGCATAGCATTTGCAATGGCTGGCATTTCTCGCGGACTTCCTGCCTCACTTTTTACAACAATTTTCTTCCATTTTGCTGTTGTTATTTTTACTATTTCTTTTTTGTTTTTTTTTTTTTTGGTTTTTGTGCACAGTTTTTGTTGCAGTTTCGAGTGTGTGTGTGTAAAACTTTAAGGAGAAACTTTCGGCTTGCAGCAGAGAGCATAGATTTTAACTGGCGGCTTGTTGTGAGTTTTAAGCAGATTGTTACTTAACGCAGAATTACCGAATTGCGGTCGCCATTAGTTTTGAGTGGAAATTGCGCGAAAGTCTATTAGACGAGAAGTAGCTGCAAAAGACTATGCATATCCTTTTAAATAGTTAAAGTGATTCATTTCCAGTGGAGAGCGTCTTGAGCAACTGAGTAAAGTACAAAGTACATAAATAATAAGTCGACAAATTAAGTTGACTGTCGCCGAAAGTAAAACAATACAGCCAAAGTCATACAACGTCCTCAGGAACTGGCAAATGCAATGCTGCAGGCAGACCAAGAAAAACGGAAACCCGTTGAAACAATGACAGCCAAAATGCGGACGAGAATTTTTAGAAAGACAAAAGTCTGGCAACGGTTTTAAGGTTTCATGCCAAAACATATATATATGTATACATATTTAGAGATACGCAAGCGTATAGATATAAATGGTATGAGTCGCATGGAACATGAACATAAATGGCACCCACAAGAGCTTCCGGCAGACATCCGCTTTAACAACTCTGTTATCCACAACAACACACACACACACACACACAAATGGAGACATGGATACATGGAATCAGCGACAATAAAGTGCGCCCAGCACATTAGCAGCGGGTCTGAGTCGTGTGGCACTTTTGCTGGGCAACGTTTTTGTCATAAACCCATTAAAAGTCAAGGGCGAAATTCATGTTGCATGTTTACTCATGCACGCTTTTGCACACAAGCGCACACAAGCGCGCACACAGACAGGCAGACAAGCAGATGTAGCAACAAAATACATAAACAAAAACAAGCATAAGCAACCGCCGCCTACAAAGTAGCTTTAATTAATGAAACTCATTAAAGGGATGCCAGCGAGCCAGTGAGCGAGCGCATAACGCATAGCACACACAGCACAAATACTGGCCCAGCATACAGCATCAGGCCAAATGCCAGCCAGGCAGCAGGCAGCAGCCTGAGTAGCCCGAGTAGCACGCGTAGACATTCAGAGGCGCACGCTTTGACCTGCCACAATGCGTTGCCATACATTAGCTGGCCAAGACCAGGCCAGACCTGACTAGACCAACTTTTGGCCAGCTCGACGGTTCGCCCTCCATTACGGCGTCGATGGTCCTCTGGCCTGCAGCCGAAGCTCATCAACGAAGCTGAACGAGAGTCCATCCAAAACGAAGAGAGCCGAGCAGACGAGAGCGCGCGCAAAGCTTTGCTGAGCGACAGTCTGGGGAAATATGGAAATTATGGTAAAGTTCAAGAACTCCGAAAAAGTTGATTTTTATACAAGCGGGGTTGCTGTTGACAAAGCAGTGCAGCTAACTGCTTCAGCACGGCAAAGCAGTTAACTACATGTGTTATACGGGTATTGTACTTTTGCCTAATAATGCAGTATAAGTCTCATAATAGTGAAGTCTACACTTATACTGAACTCTGACTCTTATACGTGGTGTCTAGCATAGGCTCAAACCCCAAATATTTGCTGTTAGACTCGAGTGTTATACGAAATATTAACCACATCACAGTCTACACTTATACTAAGCTCTGACCCTTATACTCAGCATAGACTTAAACGCCAAATATTTGCCAGTCTACACTTATACTTAACTCTGACTCTTATACGCGGTGTCTAGCAAAGGCTCAGACCCCAAATATTTGTCCCTAGACTCGAGTGTTATACAAAATATTAACCACAGCATAAAACTTAGGGAAAATATAAAAAAATTGAAAATAATTCAAAATATTTAACTGAACACTCGCCAATGCGATTGGGTTTGTGTAAACAAATGAATAACTACTTATATCATTGGGCTGCTTCATGCTTTTCTAGCCCATACACAAACCCGCCAATTTCTGCCGCCAGAGTTGTTTTTATACCTATTTGTACACGTTTTCGCTCTCCCAATCGCACCCTCGCTCATTTGGCCAAGCACACCTGTATGAATTTGGCTGCTCAATCACTCTCCGCACTTGCTCTCTCTCTCTCTCAGACATGCGCCTCTCGAGCTGTTGCTGCTGCTGCTGCCAGGACTAGGCCAACAGGCTGAGACAATAACGACCTGCTGGCTGCAGAGCAAGCAACAGCTTTGTCTGCTTCTGCCAGCGTCGACGTTTGACATTATCATGTTCGACAACAACAATCGCAACAACAACAACAGAAAACCACCCCTTTCATGCCGCACCAGCCCTCTGTGCAAGGCACATTCAAAACGCCAATCGACGCTGCCACATCCTGTGGCATACCCGGCACCTGCTGCGCCTCGAAACAAAAGCCATTTATTTAGAATGGCAAGCACAAAGCGGAAACACCAAGAAAATAGACAACATGTAATGCTGGCAAAAGGGGGGAACGAAGGACTTGGGGTATTTGAATGTTGCCTTGACAACGGTTGGTCAAAACAAAAGTTCAAGTTAAAAATTGTACAAAGTCCACATTTTTCCAGCTCCAGAGTTAAAGTCAAATCTTACAAACGCCATGCAATTGAAGTATTTGCGAACACTTTTAGAGGGGCAGGTGAGACTTAAGGGGTTATTTTGCATTTAATCTCCTCACGCTTTCCCTCTTCCAGGAGCAAATCCAACGCATTGCGGGTCTCGCCTGGTCGCCCAATCAGCAGAAATTGGCCATTGCCACCGCTGATCGTCATATTCTGCTCTATGATGATGCCGGCGAGCGGCGGGACAAGTTTAGCACCAAGCCAGCAAATGCCGCCAATGGCAAGAACTCCTATGTAATACGGGGTCTGGCATTCAGTCCGGATTCCACAAAGCTCGCCGTTGGCCAGAGCGATTGCATTGTGTACGTTTATAAGCTGGGCGAATCTTGGAACGACAAGAAGGTCATCTGCAACAAGTTTCCCCAGGCAGGCGCAGTCACCTCTCTCATTTGGTTGACCACCGGTGCTATTATAGCAGGTAAGGAAAGACACGTTTTGATTACAGCCAATTGCAGTCACTTGTTGTTATCCAGGACTCGAAGATGGCAAAGTGCGTGCCCTGCACTGCAAGAGTAACAAATCCCAGAGTCTCTACGGTGGCGACAGTATTTGCATCTCATTGGCGGCCAATACCAAAGGCAGTGGATTTCTCAGCGGTCATAATAATGGCACCATCATACGCTATTACCTCACGGAGGAGGCCACCGAACCACTGGGTCGTGTGGTACAGCATCCAGTGCCACCGTTTGCCCTGGCTTGGCCCCAAGGCGGCTTCTGTGCCGCTGGCTGCGATCAGCGTATTGTTTTTTACGACAGTGTGGTGAGTACGGGACAATTAAGGGAGTCTTATGGAATAGGAGTAAAAGCACAACAAATTTTCATGTGAAAGCTGGCAGATGGCCTGGTCGACACTTCTTTAAAACTCAATTATTTCACTTATTTCTACTTCTCCATTCTTCTCTCTCTCTCTTTTGAAGGGGCGTCAGCAGCGCTGCTTTGATTTCTCCCGCACTGAGGGGGAGCGGGAGTTCACCGTGGCTGCCTGCAGTCCCAATGGACAGGCTGTGGCCTTTGGCAGCTACGATCGCATACGGATATTTGCTTGGAGTCCGCGTCAGAGCGCTTGGAGCGAGAGTGCCAGCAAGGAGATTAGCTGTTTGTATACGCTGAGTGCACTGATCTGGAGACGGGATGGGGCACGTCTCGCCTTGGGCTCGGTTAGTGGCGCTGTGTTGATGTATGAGTCTGTGCTAAAGCGGACCATCTGGCAGGATAAGTTCGAGCTGATCTTTGTGGCGCCCAGTCAACTGCTGGTGCGTTTGCTGGCGGAGCCCACACAGCAGATGACCATCGAGTCGCAGCTGGGATTGGAGATTGATGATGTGCGTATTATGGGCAAGGATAACTTTCTGATGGGTCGCACCGAGGAGTCACTCATCCTGTGCGATCTGACACGGAATCTGGTCAGCGAGGTGCCCTGGACGGCGTCTGGACGCCACGAACGCTTCTACTTTGAGAATCCCAATGTGTGCCTGGTCTTCAATGTGGGCGAACTGAGCCTCGTCGAGTATGGCGACAATCGCATCCTCGGCTCCGTGCGCACTGAGTTCGTCAATCCTCACGTCATCTCCGTGCGCCTAAATGAGCGTGGAAATGGTCGCGATAACAAAAAGCTCGCCTTTCTGCTCGATGCCAAGACAATCTGTGTGGTGGATCTGGTCAGTCAGCTGGTCAGCGGTCAGATCAATCACGAGACAAAGATCGATTGGCTCGAACTGAGCGAAACGGCCCACAAGCTCCTCTTTCGCGACAAGAAGCTGCGCCTCATTCTCGTCGACAACTACACCGGCAAGAAGCAGACGCTGCTCAGCAACATCTCATTCGTGCAATGGGTGCCGCAGAGCGACGTCGTCGTTGCCCAGAGCAACAGCAATCTTGCTATTTGGTACAACATCGACCTGCCCGAGCATGTCACCATGCAGAGCATTCGCGGCGAGGCCATCGAAGTGCTGCGTGAGAATGTGAGTACAACTCGTGTGTTAACTGCAATAAGTCCAAAGTTTCCCATTGCTATAGCTTTGTCAATCTGAACCGATTTTGAAAAACCAGAGCTGCTTGGCAGTGGGTTGATCTCTAGAATAATACTACATTCGAAGATTAAAACGAGTTTAGTCGAATTTCATAATATACTGAAAAAGGTGTAGATTGATAGAATCCCAATCCATTCTCTTTCTTTTAACAGGGACGCACTGTGGTGCGCACCCAGGATGGACCCAGTGAGCACAGTTATCAGCTGGACGAGGGCCTCGTGGAGTTTGGCACCGCTGTCAATGACAATGACTTTGGACGCGCTGTCCACTTTCTGGAATCGCTGGGCGATAAGCCGGCTGCGAAGGCGATGTGGCACAATCTGGCCATCATATCGCTGGAGGAGGGTAATCTGCGTGTGGCGCAAAGATGCTACGCAGCTTTGGGGAACGTGTCCAAGACCTACTACCTGGCCGAGATGATCCAAGAGGCGGATGAGTTTGAGCGGACCACTGGCAATCCGGGCATACTCTGTCCCGAGGTGCGTGCCAAGCTGGCACTACTCGGCTCCGATTTGCGATCGGCGGAGCGCATCTATCTGGAGCAGGGGGACATTGAGGCGGCCCTGAAGATGTACCAGCAGTTGCGCATGTGGGATGAGGCCGTCGCTCTGGCGGAGAGACGAGGCTATGTCCGCTTGCCGGAGCTGCGACAGCAGCATATGGACTTTCTGCTGGAGACGGAGCAGCAGGAGAAGGCCGGCCAGGTGCTAGAGGATGAGGGTGAACTGCAGCAGGCAATGGCACTGTTCCTCAAGGCCAACAAGCCAGCGCGAGCCGCACGCCTTGCCCTGAAGACCCCACCACTGCTGCAGGATGAGCAGCTAATGCTGCAGGTAACCGAAGGATTGGTGCACTCCGAGCTCTTCGAGCTGGCTGGTGATATAGCCCATCGTCTGTCCCGACCGGAGGCAGCGTTGGCCCTCTATAGGAAGGGTGGAGCCTATGCGAGAGCTCTGGAACTGGCTCGTGTTGTGTCGCCACAGGAGGTTACATCACTGGAGGAGCAGTGGGGTGATTGGCTGGTGAGTCGCAAGCAGCTGGATGCATCCATTAATCACTACATCGAAGCGGGCGCCACACAAAAGGCACTGGAGGCAGCTGTGGGCGCCAAGCAGTGGCGCAAAGCTGTGCAGATTGCCAAGGTGCTGGACGAACCGGAACTGATACAACGCTATGCATTAGATCTGTCCAAGCATTTGGCTTTTGCTGGCGATTTGGATGGCGCTGAGGATCTGCTGGTGCGCGCTAATCTTTACAAGGATGCCATTGAGCTGCTCAATCGACATGGCAAATGGGAGCGCGCCTATGTGCTCGGCGAGAAGTATCTGAAGACGGAGCAATTGCGCGAACTGTTTATCCAGCTCGCCAGCAGCCTGGAGGATCAGGCCAAGTACCGAGATGCTGAGAAGGTACTAATAGCTGTCAATGAACCGGATCTGGCCATAGCTATGTATAAGCGTCGCGAGCTGTACGACTCGATGATCCGGCTAGTTGAACGCTATCACAAGGATCTGTTGGACAGCACACATCTGCATCTGGCCCGCCAGCTGGAATCGCGTGGAAAGTTCAAGAATGCCGAGCTTCATTTCATTGCATCCGGCGACTGGAAGTCGGCGGTGCACATGTACTGCTCCACGTCCCGCTGGGAGGACAGCTATCGGGTGGCCAAGCAGAAGGGCACCGATGGCGCCAGCCAACAGGTGGCCTACATGTGGGCCAAGTCCATGCCGGTAGAGAGCGCAGTGCGTCTGCTGAGCAAGCTGGAACTGCTGGACACAGCCGTGGGCTTTGCCTGTGACTCCGGCCAGTTTGAGTTCGCCATGGAGCTATGCCGCTTTGCGGGCAAGCCAACGGATGAGGTGCATCTGAAGATAGCCATGTCGCTGGAGGATGAGGGCAAGTTCGAGGAGGCCGAGGCGGAGTTCCTCAAGGCACACAAGCCCAAGGAGGCGATACTGATGTATCAGCATGCCGGGGATTGGCCAGCAGCGCTCAATGTGGCCGAGCAGCATCTGCCGGATGCGGTCAACGAGGTGCTCATTGGCCAGGCATCAGCGGCGCTGGAGACGCGCAACTATCAGGATTACGAGATGCTTCTGTTGCGCGCCCAGCGACCCGACCTCATCATCGAGCACTACAAACAGGAGTCGCTCTACGACGATGCCCTGCGCATTGCCGAGGAGCACTATCCGGCCGGATTGAATGATCTGCGCCGGCTCCAGGCCCAACAGCAGCGTGGCCAACTGCAGGGCGAGGATGCCACTGGAGATTCGCGAGCCTATCTCCAGCGTGCAGCGGAGTTCGCTAAGCGGGAACAGTTCCGCAAGGCGGCCGAGTGCCTGATGCAGATCGATGCCAGCAACGCAGAGGATGCGGCAACGCTGGAGCGTGCTCTGCTCCGAGCCGCCGAGATAATCAATCAGTTTCTGGAGGGCAAGGATGCTCAGGAACTGGCGCAGGAATTGGGACCACGTCTGCTGGCCATCAAACAAATCGGACCGGCTGCTCAGCTATATCTGGCCGCAGATCTGCCCAAGCAGGCGGTGGACGTCTTCATCCGTGCCGAGCAATGGTCCAAAGCACGTCGCCTGGCCAAGGAGATCGATGCGGAACTACTCGCCTATGTGGAGCAGCAGCAGAAATCGCGACTCAAGCACGAGGGCAATGTGGAGCAGCTGGCGGATATTGATATCATTAGTGCCTTGGACATGCTGGCGGAGCAGGGTCAATGGCAGCGCTGCCTGGAAAAGGCCAAGCAGCTGAATACATCTGTGCTGCAGAAATATGTGGCTGCCTATGCGGCTCAACTCATACGGGAAGGTGACTGTATCAGCGCCTTGGGTCTCTATCTCAGCTATGGGTCACCACCCATTGAGGAGCACTTCAACATCTACACGCGAATAGCCCAGGATTGTCTGGCGCTGCGCGAGGAGCAGTCGGAAACCGGCGGCTTGTGGCAGCGTCTGCGTAACTTTCTCCATGGACTCCTGCATGGACTGCGCAGCTCCGAGCACGTTGAGTCCAAGTTTGCGGCCAGTGCGGAACTGTATCTGCTGATTGCCCACTATTACGCGACGCGTGCCGCTTGCCGCCAGGTGCCGTCGCTGCAGCCGGTGGCGGTGCGTTTATCTCTGGCCCTGCTGCGGCACACGGATGTGCTGCCGGTGGACAAGGGCTTCTACGAGGCGGGCATGGAGCTGAGGCAGGCGGGACGTGAAGCTGAGGCTTTTGTCATGCTCAATCACTACTTGGACGTGTGCGAGGCCATTGAGGAGGGCTCCGGCAATCTGGTGGATCATTCCGATTTGACAGCCACCGATTTCCCGAGCTCCGTGCCACTGCCGGAGGACATCCACCTGAAGAACGAGCCCAGTCTGCACGAGGAGGTGCGCGAATGGGTGCTGGCCGTGAGCATGGATCAGCAGGTGGATCAACTGTTGCCCACCGATGATCGTGGCCTCTACGAGTCAAGTTTGGGTACACAGGACAGAGCCTGCCTGCTTAGTGGGTATCCAGTGCGTGGCCGCCAGCCAGTCACCTTTCATTCGTCCAACAACCAAGTGAATCGCGATGTGTGGAGCAAGTTCGCGGTGGCCGTTAAGATGGCACCTAGCAGTGGTGTCACCGATATTATTGGCTTTGTCGAGAAGTGGCAGGGAGCTGCCAACTATGTAATGCACTAAATGTTCGAACTGTCCTTACTAATACCCAATATGCATGCAACTAAATAAATATATACTCTATTTAACCGTCAATAAGTGTATTAATTACAATCAACTGATTGATTATAAAATAATGCGACAAAAATTCACGTCCATCGACGCCACGAATATAATATATGTGTATGTATATTATGTAAGAATCAATTCATCAAGTGTAATCCTCGTGCAGCTGCTCGGTAACGGGAGTAGAATCATAGATGTATCGAATTGAATCGAATCAATGTAGCGTATTAAAGAGATCACCGGCTGAGGGTAGGGGCGCCAAGCCACCGGTCACATCTGGCAGCTGTGTCAGATCTGGTAGATTGGATAAATGATCGTGTATCTCTTTCTGCAGGCCCATCATCTTGGCCAGCTTCTTCTTGTGTTCCTGCAAATATACACAGAGCAGAGAAGAGCGAAGATTAGCCACGATGCACGATGCGACACTTTGCCGCACAGCGATTGGGAAAATGCAATTCGATTTTGGGGGAGAGACCAATTTGAACATTTAATGCAAAGCAAAAGTAAATTTCTAAGTATATAAACATTTGCCACACAACGTACATCCAATCGCAGCTCGGCCTGAGCGAGCAACTCCTTCTGTTCCGCCTGAAAGTCACGCAGCATGGCGGCCAGCTTGGTCCGCTCCTCCATCTCAGCAGAGAGACGCGCATTGTAATCGTTCAGCAAATCGACCGCCTCATTGACCTAAAAATCAGTTCGATTTAGTAAATTGATTGTATTAATTGTAAACCAGTTATAGACGCTAACCTGTTTGGCCAAGACTTTGGCCTTGTCCTTATCCTCTAGTTTGGTAATGCAGCCAATTTCCGATATTTCCGGCGGCAGCTTGGCGATCCTTTCGCGCACCAGCGCATCACTTGACGCCGAGTTCTCAATACTGGTCAACGCTTTGATTAGCTCTTCGGGCTCCGGTGGTTCACCCAGCGTCAAATAAGGCGGTGTGTGACCATTTTCCGCCTCAGGTGCAGGCGGCTCAACAACGCTGACACTTTGATGATGGGAAGATGCACGCGGCCTCTTCGATTTCGACTGCCGCTCTTCATGTTTGCGCTTCTCGCGCTTCTCAGACTTTTCCGATTTGCTGCCGCTGTTGCTGTTACTACTACTTTTGTGGGGCACAGCTGATACAGTGGCACCTTTGCTGTTGCTGTTGCTGGTTTTGGTGCTGCTGCTGCTGCCATTGCCGTTCGCATTAGCTGGGGCATCTTTTGCCTCACTGTTCATGCGTGCGCGATAATCAACAATGGTCTTTGGATCGTAGACACCTCGCTCCTGCCATATATTCAAAATGCGCCCAAGACTGCCGAGCAGCTTTTCCGAACTGCACGTTTCGCCAATGTGCGCAAAGACTTTGGGCAGCACATTGCCGAACTCCTTGCCGTATTCGGGTCCCTTCTTCTTGCTGTTCTGAATGACATCGTTGGCCAGGTACATGAAGGTTAACTTTTTGGGCTCCGGCACTATGAATAAATAGATAATGTTGCAGTGTGTCCGCATCCTTGTTGTTTGCTGATTACGTACCATTTTGGAGTTCACGTTGCCAGGTCTGAACAATGACCGTGTGATGTTTTCGATGATGGATGAGCCATAAGGATAATGTTTGAATGCTCTGCTGACTGGGATTGAGTTCTGATAATTTCTTGAGTAGCGCCGATTCCGTAAAGGCTGACATTGCAGCGACTCTGAAACGTGATCAAGTTCTATTTATATGCCGTACTTTATTTTTTAGATGAAAGACGAAAAAAAGGGACAGAAAAAACACACGGGGCCGAAAAACAAAAATAATTGTGTCTTCTTCTTCTCGTGTGTTGATAACAGCGGCAAAAATTTTAACATTGGCTTTGACTGTTAAACAGCAGCGTATACAACATATTTTTCTGAATGAACACTTACTCAAATATTCGTGTTGCAGTATCATAAAAGCTTAATATTAATACATAATAATCATTAATGAAGAATAGTTGCTTAGCAGATAGACTAATTTGAACTAAACACTGACTCGAATTTAAAATTTAACAGCAGTTAACCAATCATAACAGCATGAGCACTAATGTTAAGTCTCGAAATTATCGATAAGTCAAATGTTATCAGACGACCAATGCGAGCTGCCAACTCAATGCACAGTATAGCGCTACCTGATCGAATGTGTGCAGATTTTTGCGAAAGATGCGCGCGTATTTTGAAACTTAGATTTTAAAATAATTGGCATGCTCCAAAATGCAAGCAAATTAAATTCATAAAAATGCACTCACACATTCCATCAAACACACAACCAACAATTGTAATCAATCAGCAACAATAATAGGGCGAGCAGGCGTCCAACCTTTTCAACCAACACTTCACACCGATAAGCAAGCGGTTCCAACAAGAGTTAGGTGTGATTGAAATGCGTCGACACTCTTGTCTCAGTTGGTCGCAATATTTCAAGCGTGTTGGACGGAAAGGCGCAGTGTAATATAAGCAGTGTGATACAGTGATATAGCCGTAAAGCGTGTGCCGTAGCCGCAACCGTCGTCACTGGCAATCGACGTCGCTTATCAGCTTTGCCAAAGAGTAATTTGTGATACCTGTCCGTTTTGTATTGGCTTGTAGAGCGCAGCGCGACGAGCTTAAGTGGTGTTAATTTTTTATTAATTATTATCGTGTTTATTGCCAGCAACGAAAGTGAAGTGCGAATTACTTCAAGTGCTCTGTCCATTAACCATTCCAGTAACAATAAATTACAAAAGTTAAGAACAGCAGCTGCCTTTTTTGTTGTCCAGTTTGCAAATGCAACCTCAGATAATGGTTAAGAAATTTTCAATTTCTCTATATATATATGTATGTGTGTGTGTGCGTATGTGTGTGTGTGTGCATTGATAGACGAGTGTGTGATTTACAAACCATTAACGCTATCAACAACACATTAGACAAATTGCTAAATTAGCTGCCGCATTGTCACGCAGTGCTCACAGTGCGATATACTTTTTTGTTTAAAAGCAATGAGCTGAATCAACCAAATATTATAGTATAGTACCATCCAATACTCGTACATATCCCAAATAATTACGCTCTTTGCGCTCAGTCCGCTCAATAGATCGCCCTGCCGCCCTGCTGCCCTGATAAGCCCCCCTGATTCAATGATTTAAAGTGTTTGTGTTTTCCTTTTGTTTAGTAGTGTTCTTTAAGATAGTTGGACTTGGACTAGTCTGATCTGATTGCGGATAAAAAGTTTCAAAAGTGAATTCTAGCCATCAAAAATGTTGAAGACTTGAAACGATAACGAACACAATGAATTCAAAATATGATTCGGGCATGGGACACAATCGCGCACATCTCTTCGGCTCCCATGTGGAGCACTTTCAAACGACTCTCAATGAAAAGAACTGGGAATGGTCTTATCTAGTGGTAAGTTACAATCATAACAACCTATCATAACGTAGATCATAAAACTATACGATCCCAATTAGCGAAAATGCCGTAATCTGGAGCTGGAGGAGTCATATGATCTATATATGCGCCGATTGCGCATTGGATACCTATCGATCTTCATCTTCATTGAGCTACTGGTGACCTTCACGCATGCCTTGCTGCTGCTGACCTCATCGGATCTTACATATAGCTACATAGACATGGGCAGCTATGTAATCACCGGCTTACTCATTTGGCTAATACTCTCGGTGAACTTTCACAGTGAGCTGATTAGCAAACATGGCTATCTCATCTATGCCTCCTCCTGGATGGCCGTATCCATCATGGTGTTAATGGGTGTGTTATTCTGACTATCTCAACTCTATTTTGCATTTACATGTTTGCCTTTTTATGTTAACCAGATATTGGCCTGAATATCTATCACGCTACTACCAACAATGATATCTTAAATCCCATCTATGACGCCTATACCTTGTATGCCATCTATATGTTTATGCCCATTCCCTATATCCTGCAACCTTTTATACTGGGCACAGCGGTTACCATCTGCTATATTATCAACTACAGTTTTGTGATCACTTCCAAGGAGGAAAACCGAATGCATAGCATATTAAAGTAAGAATATAAAGAATATATAAATCGATCAAATCGATTAAAATTACGTATTTTTGAGCTAGCCACTTTAAAACTCCCCATCAAATTATCTATAAAAATCATAAATTCTTAAAAATATTACTTAGTTAAATTATTTGCAAATTAGAACCCCTTCTGAATATAAAAATGTTGTACGAACATTTATCTATACTATTCTTTTGGATACTATTATTTTAACTTGATTTCTTTCTTGGTACTATCAATATATTTCTGTTCCCAATAGTAGACCCTATTTAGTTTTTTTTTTTAAATTTAAAAGTGCGTTTCTTTGATTACAGTGAAGCCATTTATTTGAGCTCCGTCAATTGTTTGGGCATCTTTTTCCGCCTGATGCGAGATATTGCGCTGCGCACCACATTCCTAGATCGGCGCCAGTACGTGGAGGAGAACCTATTGCTGCGCTATGCACGAGATCAGGAGCGCACTCTACTGCTGAGCATACTGCCCGCTCAGATTGCCGATCGATTGCAGGAGGATGTCCGGAATCGCATCGAGCGTTCCAAGCAACAGCATAAGCAACGAGCCGACTTCGATCAGTGCGTCAGCAACAACAGTCAGGCATTGAAGCGTTGGCGCCAACCTGATCGTGGGTTAGTATCCAATTCTATCCGACCTGAGTAATATTTAAATGTGATTTCTCCTCAAATAACAGCACACTCTTTATTGAGCCGCACAAGGACGTGACCGTACTGTATGCGGATGTGGTGAATTATACATATCTGACCACAACGCTGGACGTGAAAAAGCTGGTGGAGGCACTGCATGATCTCTTCGTGCGCTTCGACATCGCCAGCGAGGAGTACAATGTGATGCGCATCAAGTTCTTGGGTGACTGCTACTATTGCGTGGCTGGACTGGCCAGTCCCAATGAGGATCATGCCAAGTGCTGTGTCGATCTGGGACTGCGCATGATCAAGGACATACGCGACGTTAGGTAAGACAACCAAATCCGCATCGATCTCTCTCTCTCTCTCTCTCTCTCTCTCTCTAATTACTAATCTTCCGTGCTTGCAGGGAGAAGCGACATTTGAATATTGACATGCGTATCGGAGTGCACTCCGGAGATGTGCTATCCGGCGTGATAGGTGCTGCCAAATGGCAGTTTGATATTTGGTCCAAGGATGTGGACATTGCCAATCGACTGGAGGCAACTGGCGCTACGGGGCGTGTCCATGTCAGTCAGCAAACATTGCGTCTGCTCGATGGCGAGTATTTCTTTGAGGATGGCACGGAGAAGGCACGCGAGGATCCAGTGCTGCAGAAGCACGACATACGCTCCTTTCTCATCAAGTCGTTGCGCGTGAGTAGCACTTCTACCACCAAAGCCAATTGCACAATTACACAGTGTCGAAAGTTATAGGCCCCCATGCATGATCCGCGTCGAGTGCAACGCGAGCGGCAGGCCAAGAAGCTGAGCGAGGCCAGCAAGTCCAACTTCATGTACAACTCCACGCTGCAGCAATACAATCAAGTGCGCAACCAGGCCAAGCTGGAAATGTGCCGGGAGCTGGATAAAATGCCAATCGGTCGTATAAAGTTAATTAAAGCGAAGAATTCCGCCTCATATCCTACTCCAATAACTGCTCTACTTTTATCCAATTAGGATCACTAAAGTGTGTCGTCGCTCCACAAACCTAACCCAGGATGAACTCGAGGAGGAAACCTTTCGACGCAACATCAGCTCCTTTTGTTTGCTGTTTCGCATCCGCAACTGGGAGCTGCAATATTTACGGGAACCGGATGTGATGTTCAAGTATAGCATAGCCCTTGCCTGGTTTGTCTACATGTGCATGCTGACAATTCAGCTGCTTGGCAAGGAGTACGTACAAAATAAGACGTAAGATTTCCACTGAACATATGAAAATGGTCCACTTTTTGCTTGTAGTCCGCGGTATCACTACTGGGTTATCGATGGCATTACGATCTTCTTGCTAAGCACTCTGCTGCTCGTCTCCTGGTATAAAAAGCTGTGGATTATGTATGTCGCCGATGCGGAACAGTCGCTGCCTAAGTTCAAAATTAGCCGATTTCTCTATAGATCGTCTGACTTTATGCAACGCAATATTATCATACGCCTAGTTGTCTATTTTTTGGTTGTTATCTCGTATTGTGTTGTGGCGGCTATGCAGGTGGTAAGTCTGACTAACAATTGGGTTCTAATCAATTCCAATCAGGGTTGTCTAAATCCGTGTTTAACTATTAACTCAAAACGTCTTTATAGTTAGACTGCGGAGACAGTTCGGACGATGATGAATTAATGCCGATGGAGACCTATGAGGATCGCGTGCTATGCTTTCATCCCTGGGTAAGTGAAGACAAATTCAAACTATGTTCAATGATTATCAATAATTTATATTGGCTCATCAGATCCTGACCAACTGCATGACTCTGGTGATTGGCACATCCTTTCTGTTCACGCGTGTTCCCTTCATCATCAAGACCACAGTGGCAGTGTCCATCACTGTGACTTATGCAGTGCTGGTAGTATTTGAATTTGACTATATCTTTGCCACGAGTCCATCGACGAATGTGAATTTCAATGCGGAATATTCACACATATTGCTCATCTTTATCACGTTGGGCATATTTCATTTGATGGAGCGCCAGACGGAGTTTATAGCCAAGGTGGATTACAAGTAAGTCGTTCAGCTTTCAAAACCGGATTTTCCCCACTAAAATCAACAGCTTTTGGCAGCTGGAAGCGGCAACTGATGCAGAAACAGGATGATGCCCTCATCACCAATGACACCATTAAAGTGCTACTCGTCAATATTTTGCCCTCACACGTTGGTAAGTCGGTAGATTGTCTAAGTCTGGGATGAGATCTAAATTTCCCTATTGGATTTCTTAGCGGACTTTTATTTATCCACGCAGCTGCAGAATGAGCTCTACTACGAGGAGTATGATAATGTGGCCGTTATGTTTGCCTCGATCAAAAACTTTGATACCGATAAAATAGGATTGCGTGTTCTCAATGAGATCATCTGTGATTTTGATGATGTGGTAAGTGTTGCGAACAAATAGTACAGATTAGAACACATTAATTTGTGTCACATTGCAGCTCAATAAATATTCGACCAGCATGCGCGTGGAGAAGATCAAGGTGGCCAACTGGACATATATGGCTGCCTGTGGTCTCGATGTCACCCGATCCGAGCAGGTGAATGCGCCGCAAGTGAAGTTTCGCAACGTTTCGCTAATGCCAAATGGACGACGGAGTCAGTATCGCAACTCCGGCTCTGAGCAGATGCAGCGTGTGCCATACGGCAATGGCAGCACCATCGCTCTGGATCTGGAGCGTGGCCAGTATGAGGGCAATATGGTTAGCGGGACGCCGCGAATGAGCTGCTCGGAGAACACCAGTGACAAGAGCAACGATGAGGTTGTCAAAATAATGGCAAATTTTGCCTTGGATCTGATGCGTGCGATGCGACGATTTAATGCCGAGAATATGCAATCGGAATACGAGGGCAGCACCGATTATGGCATGCTCCGAATTGGCATCTCACATGGCAGGGCTATGGCCGGTGTGGTTGGCATATCGAAGCCACACTATGATATCTGGGGTAATCCAGTAAATATGGCATCGCGCATGGACTCAACGGGTATGCCGGGCAAAATACAGGTGACAGAGAATACGGCACTGAAATTGCGCAAATTTAATATACAATGCAACTATCGGGGCAAGACATTTGTCAAGGGGCGTGGCAATATACCTACCTATATACTTGGCACCGATGACGAATACGAAGGATTCCTGCCACACCAGCCTGACTCCATAACCTAGTAGAAATAATCGATCATTTAAGTCTATTACGAAGTTTATATGTTCATATCTTGTAAATATTAAAGAAAAAACGCCAAGCTAACAAACTATTGATATAGTAAGATGTGAATTTAAATGCGATAAAATTAGAATTAGAGATTAGTCGGCGGCTTGTATAGAGAAATGGCAGTCAAGTATTCTCTCTCATATTGTGTAAAGTAAATGTCTGACTTACTGGCACAGCATTGAAAGTCAATTGAAAATTGTTTGAAAGTAGAAAAAAACAATGGAACACATGATGGCACCTAAAAGAGATGCTCATTGGATTGGATCAATTCATGCAAGTCCAACTGGAACTGATCGGAGTTATACAAAAGACTGCGAATGGACAACAATGCGAGTGAGTTTCACCAAACCCAAATCCCAACAACCACAACAAAAAAGAACATAGCAGATATTTATTAGTGTTAAGCTGTTTTACAGAAAGAATGCCAAGTCCAGAAAATGGAGCATTCCTATGATCTCTACATTGAGCGTTTGATTGTAACCAATGTGGCACTCTTTCTATTCATTATGGAGCTACTATTGGCAATAAACCTAATATCAATAGTTATTTTAACCCAGGTGAGCCGAGTAATGTGTGTCAGCTACCAGCAACTGAGCTGGATAACAGCCAACTGCTTTTGCAGCACATAAAATGGGAATATGGGACACTGTTAACGCTGATGATCCTGTTGCCGCTGATACTTCTGATTTGTTTTAAGAGGAAGTCAAGTTTCCAACACTTTCGCCTATTCAACATAATCGCTAGCTGTGCAGCTGCCCTGCTGGTGTTGCTCATGGGTACTTCTCAAACACATTACATGATAATTATGAATGTTCTGATTGATTTCCATTTCGATTGATCAGATATGCTGGGAAGGAATTATGTTAAGGGTCGCTACGATCACATCATTATTGTATCGGTGTATTTCTTACTGCCGATTGCCTTCTACGGGAAGCCCTATCTGCTTGGCATCGGAGTGTCCCTAATCTATTTATTGTGCCCCATGCTAACAAATGCAATTAATTTACGACCGTTTGAACTGTCAAAACACGTCTGCAATGCTTTCTATCTGATCTCATTGAATGTGGTTATGATGGCATTTCGGATTTGCATGGAATACCATCTGAGACAACTGATATTAACTCGTCGCCAGCTGCTGCATCAGAGCTTTGTCCTAAAGGTGGTGCTCAGTACTCAATTTCAGGTGATCAGCTCTGATTTATGATTGTATCCTCTAGGAAACCAAGGAGAAGGAGAAGAATATTGTGGCGACAATAGTACCAGCGGATATTGCACATTCACTGGACCACGAAATACAAAAACGCATCGCGGATCAACTTCTCTGCAAGCGGTATCTGAACCCAATGTTTGTATATAGTTTACTTTAGTTCAATATCTAATCCCAAATCAAGTATTTTGCCTATTAAGTTATATTCGGATGTTTCTATACTGGCTGCTGAGATGGTCAACTATGCACAGCTAACCTCGCAAATGGATGTCAAAGATCTTGTGCAGATATTTCACGAGCTCTTTGTCGAATTTGATTTGGCTGCGGAGGACCATAAGGTGTTACGCATCAAATTTCTGGGGGATTCCTTTAGCTGTGTCTCTGGTATACCACAGCATTGTTACACTCATGCCAATTCCTGTGTCGAACTGGCTCTGGACATGATCCTCAAAGCAAGGCATTTGTGCGAAGTGCATGATCTGCTGGACATAAAAATGCGCATTGGTGTGCACTCGGGTGAGGTCTTTGCAGGCATCATCGGTCGCTCGAAATGGGAGTATGACATATGGTCACGCGACGTGGACATTGCCAATCGTCTGGAATTCACGGGCATGCCGGGTCGAGTGCACATCTCGCAGACAACGCTCAAGTTGCTGCACAACGAATACGATTATGAGCCGAGCAGTCGACTGGACAGTTCAGATATCTACTTGAAGAAGACATATTATATCAACACATATTTAATCTCCCCAAAGTTATCCAAATCCACAATCAAGGGAGCGAAACGTATATTCAATATGACGCCAGGATCACGAACAGCTCACAGCGTTTTTGAGAAAGAGTTGGATGCTTCGCATGAGTATCAGCTGAAAATATATCACCTCATGTACAAAAAAGTGAAATGCATGCCTATCGGCGCAATACAGTAAGTAAAATTCATTAAGTTTAAGTTCCTATATAGTCCACAATCCCAGCATCTAAAGAATGGCGCGAATTTTCGATTTCTCTGATGGTTCCCGTGATGGCAACGAAGATCGGGTGTTCCAATCATATATCACCTCGTTCTGGCGGCACTTTCGTCAAGCTGACATCGAATGGAAATACATCAATAAGCCAGATTTACTTATGAAATATAGCCTGCCACTGATGGTTTTCGTTGGCTTACTGTTCATTATCGAGCATATGCTGTCGCCAACGTAAGTCCATATCGAAATACCTACATATGTATATATAAAATTGATATTTCCTCTTATAGATACTCATATGTGTTGATTATGTGGGTAGTACTGGTTGTGCTATTGCTATTGTGTCTGCTGGTGTTCTATAAGAAAATTGTCTTTCAACTAAGCACAAACCCGCTTGAATATAAGCCACAATTTATCTTAGATCGCTGGCTCTTCAAAATATCGGAGTTATGTGAAGAGAACCTCGCCATGCGAATCGGAATTTACTTCTTCGGCCTATTCTTAGTCTATATCTTGGCATCATTTAATACGGTAACTATAACTTTATATAGTTTATCATTGGGTAAATAATTTGTTGAGTTCTCCTGCAGGTTGCATGCTTAATACATGGTATCCAAATGAATAATATTGACGGAGTAAAACTCTTAATGCCTGCGGTAGATAATGCTATATACAAATTATTACCCGACTGATTTAACTGACTGATCTCACACAGGAAGCCACCGATAATGTGATTATGGTCTTTACCCTTATGTTCTTTACTGATCTGCCATTTGTCTTAAAGATGGCCCTGATCATACTTGTCTGCATCTCACATATCGTCATCGTGCAATCATCACATATTAAGTCGGAATTTCAAATCATCTGGTTTATTATAGCCTTTTGCCTGATGCTCCTGATCATGGAGCAGCACAATACCTATCTCAAGAAAGTGGGTTACTAGTAAGTTGAGCTTAAGCGCATCCTAACGATAAATATAACCAAATTGTTGCAGCTACAACATGCGCTACGTGGAGACTCAGAGGCAAACGGAGATTATCAGGCGCTCTCAAAGAGTGCTCATGGTCAACATATTACCCAACCATGTGGCGCGTTTGTTCTTGGAGCATCCGCAGGTCGAAGAGCTCTTCCACGAGAGTTACAACAAGGTCGCTGTCATGTCCGCCTCCATCGTGAACTTTGAGCGGGATAAGTGCGGATTGCGAGTGCTCAATGAGTACATTTGTTACATTGATGATCTATTGTTGGACTACAGGGGCGATTTTCAAGTGGAGAAGATCAAGGTCAAGAACTGGACATATATGGCTGCTTGTGGCCTAAAAGTCGATCATTCAATGGAATTGCCATCGTGTAAACAGCAAAATGAGCCTCGACTCTCGCATCCGACGCTGCAGAACGATGACAATTGTGTCCTGACCTTGCTGCATTTTGCTGTGGACCTGCTGCGCATGATGCACGATATAGCGTTGCAGAATATGCATCTGAAATTTGGTGGATCGATGCGAGGCCAAATGAAGATTGGCATTGCACATGGACCCATCGTTGCCGGCGTTGTAGGCTTATCGCCACCTCACTACGACATCTGGGGTCATACCGTTAATAGCGCCTCCGGCATGTGCTCCTCAGGAATTGCGGGCTTCATACAGGTCACCAAGGAGACGGCTCAGACATTGCATGGCTTTGATATCAAGTGCAGCTATCGAGGCATGATGAATGTCGCCAGCGTAGGTGAGGTTTCATCGTATTTGGTAGATCTGGATGAGCGGCTCAACTTGCAACATATTGATAAGGAAGATTTGGATATTATTGAGTTCGTAGACGCCTATTCAAAGTCAGACAAAGTTGTTAAACACAATTTCTAATTGGTGTAGATTACACTTTTGAACAGAAGGTAATCTGATAACAAGAAGTTATTTATTTTGAATTTTATTTACGATATATTACATATACAACATATATATTTATAGATATACATATATTTGTATAATACAGAAGTTCTGGAGTCACATTACGTATAAACACATAAAATTTGAGAGCTTATTTTGTTGCCACATATAGCATAGAATATTTATGCTATAAGTGTGTGTATCATTTATAAAATAAATATATTGTAAACATGCATTTCAACTCTAACATGAACGAAAACGAATACGAAGCACCAAACGGTTAAAATTATACTCTTTGTTTTGGGTATGTTACGATTTTGTGCACAGTTTTGAGCTTAAGTAATGCAATTGCAGCTGGTATTGGGGTACGGTTCGCAATAATTTACTCATTTGCCGCACCAGTGAGCAGGGCCGTGTCCTCGGGCAGCGGCTTGCGCTTATACGATGGCTCTGTGGCCAGGTAAACAACGAGAGCGCCAAAGATCACATAGAGCACACCAATAATGTTGGTCAGAACACCGGCAGCGGGCAGCGTGGAATAAGTGGCACCCCTACGAATAGAAGAGTATTAGACAAGTTATAAGCCAAGTGTACCAAATCACTTACAGTGAAAAGATGGCCTTCTCGGTGAGTCCCATTACGGCACTGGCAATGGCCAGAACGAATCCAAAGAGTCCAAAGTACACGTGCAGTGGCATCAGTGCAATCTTGTAAGTCTCCCGCATGCCTGGGACCAGAAAGGCCATAAATCCAGCAACATACTGCAGACAGAAGATGAGAACCGCCGACAGGCCCAGCCACGAGTGCAGCGAATACATATTGGGAATGGGCGGATCGTTCAAATTATGCGAATCGAAGACTGTCTTCAGGGCAATCACCGTCAGCACGAAGGCGGCCAAATGGATGCCGGCGTGGGTGAGCTTCAGGGTCTTCTTGCGTGTGGTGCGAAAACCACGATAAACGAGTATGGCTAAAAGTAGATGGCAGATAGCATGGAGTGCCACACAATTAGTTACACCTTTTCCGGCCAACGACAAGAATAGTTTTACTTCGACTACTTACAATTGCCATACAGATAAATGAAGCCAATGGTCATGCAGAGCGGATGCCAATTGAATTCCTGCTTGGGATTGTCGGTGCCGCCGAGGCCGCCAAAGTGCTGCCCAATCCAGGTGCCCACCAGCACAATCATTGTGAGACCGCACAGCTGAGTGAGCACATAGAGCACCTTAAAGTTAATCAGCGCCGGATCCATATTGGACTTGTCGTTGTTGCCTGTGTGCCAAAAATAGACAAAATTATGTAAACAAATTAATTAATAACACAAACATTGCTCAAATAACCCTTTCCCCCAATTGCTTTTTTAATACCCTAATGATGTTTACAAATGCATCAGTTTGAAATTGAATAGGCTGTTAAGGGAATTGCCAGAAATACTCTATTAAAACAAACATTTCACATGAAAATTTGATCCATTTCGATTCAGTTACACAAGTTAAATGTCTAAGCAGAGATTTATCTTAGATCCATCAACATCTTTAGAATCTGCTTATAATTAATGGCCACAAGCTTTAATTAATTAAAATTAAAAAAGCATTTTATGCACCCACATACGCAACATTTAATTAGCATATCTCTAACCAACGATGATTCATGCTCAGAATTGCATGCCGCATCAGATTTGACACAGTTACAGGCCTGAGAGGAGACTTCGTAATAAACTTGTAATTAGCTGCGCATTCTTACATGTTATGCTTTTCACGATCCATTAATTAGAATCTTAATCATCAGTGCGTACCAATTGACCCGCTACGTTTTTGCCATAGCTGACACATGATATCATAGCCATAGCCAGAGCCAGAGCCATTCATTTGACTTTAAGGCTTACTTGAGTCGACTCAAGACACACGAGAACCCACCCATGCAACGGCAACAAGTTGTATGTAATTTCAGCGATCTTACGATAAGCACAGCGACGCCGGCCATCTGAGATCTCTAAACAAAATCAAAAAAACAATAACAAAAAAGCAGCCTGCACATAGTGTGAAACTAAATATAATATATACATGTGGAATAATACGTCTTGCGATTATTAAATATAAGCAGTGTCGGGTAGACGACTTATGTAAAAATTGTAATTGTTTGTCGAATATTATGAGATGAGGAGAGCAGTCCCAGAATCTAAATTGCTAGCTTCTTATCAGCAGCACTGCATGTAAACATTTTCTAGCAGCCACCACTCGACAATCTTCCTTCGGTGGTAGCAAAATGATAGCAAATCGCTTTAAATAGCATTGCTCATTCATGTATCTATTGTTTGATGTTGGTGCGGGCAAAAGAGCGAAGAAGAACGAAGACAACAACAACAAAAAAGAAAAGTAAATTGCAAATGAATTAAAATTTTCAGCGTTTCTCTGATAAATTGAAGTGTTTACAATCGTGTACAAAACAGAGTGCAAACACATTCATTCGAACTAATGCTTATAGAAGGTGTCGAAGACGGGTGGTTTCCATGTGGAAAGATAAGTCTCAGAACAGCGTCGAATAAGTATGCAATCTGAAGAGTTATTTCAAAGATAAAAAAAAGTCATAAAAAAAAGGCTAACAAAATGTTAAACATTTTAATTGTTTGTTTAGAAATGAGTACGAAAAACATGGCAGAATGAATAAAAAGCAGTTGCAGATAACAATCATTTATCAGGCGCTTTAATTAAAGTTATAATCAAATGCCAATAGGTGAATTTGTTTAACAAGTGAAGCAAATTGCAAATGAAGTTGCGAATACGCCAAGAAATGTGGCAGTGTGATCTTTGTTGTGGCACGTGCCGCATTTAACCGCAACAAACAAGCAAACAAACAAGCAAAACAATAAATTTCGGGGCTCCAAATTTTTGGGCAGTGAAATTAAAAACCAAATACTAATGATGATTAAAGTATATATTATAATTAATAGATTGTTAATTAAGCAGGCGTGCTGCAGTTTTGTTTTCATTGTTGTTGTTGTTGTTATTTGGTGTTTTGGTGGCCAGCAAAGCGTTGCAACAGATCGTGCGCAAAATTTAGAGGTAATGGGCTAAAGAAAAGTAAAAAAGAAGAAAAACGACAAGCAATAAAAATAAATAATCCACGTAAAAAGTAAAAATTTTCTGAAGATGCGACTACGATGACTTTGGAAAAGCGTTAAGGCTAAAGAAAAATAAATAAAGCAACTCGAACAAAACACACACACATAACAACAACAACAAAATGCTGAAAAACTAAAGTGAAATTTCGATTTGGTGCGAATGAAGTTGATGACTCTGCAGACACCCAGCAGAAAGAGAGAGAGAGAGAGGGAGAGAGAGCGAGCGCGGGAGAGAAAGAGGGAGAGGGTGATCGAGAGTTAGCGCAAGAGGGGAGTGAGGAAAGCAGCCGCAAAAAGGAGGATCAGCAATAGTAACGGTCACTCTCTTTCTCTATCACTATCTATTTGTTTTGCCTTTCTTTCTGCCTTTCTATACTTGTCCGTCCTGTTAAAAAAAAAACTTTTACTAATGCGAAACTAAAATGTTGAGCTGCAAACTTTAAAGCCAAAGCCAAAGCCATATCTGATATTGTTGTTGCTGTTGTTGTTGTCTTTGTACCTTTATTAGTGGTCGCTTCGACGGCAGCATTTGTTGGCTGCACTTGTTCTGCTATTGTTGCCAGAGTTGCTATTGCCGCCACTGGTTGCGGTTTGGGCTGCTCAGCCGCCTTGCAAATATTATCGCCATTTGTTGTTTTTGCTGGTGCTGGTGCTGGTGCTGTTGCTGGTGCTGTTGCTGCTGTTGGTTTTACCTCAATAACAGCAACAGGCACCGCTTTGACTTCGATTGTGGTCGTTGTCATTGGTGCTGTCGCCTGCTCAACATCCATATCGTTAGACATTGTGGTGTTCACTTTATTGAGTTGAAAATCAATACACGATTTGCCGGCTAATAGTCCAGTTTTAATTTGCATGCAATGCCGAATTTGATTTAAACTCTCAGAGACACAACAAACACAACTCAACGCGACGTAGATCTACATACAACCGAGCACCTCAAAGTGCAATGCGCAACTGAATTTGAAATATATGCTTCAAACTAGCCGAGCAGTAGCAGAGCAGAGAGCAGCAGTAGCAGCAGTAGCAGTAGGAGCAGAGTAGCAGAGCAGCTGCAAAGCAGCAGAGTAACAGCCGCTGCGTCGCCTAGAGCTTTAGCAAAAACAAATTGCTCGCATGCGATAAAGCTTTAAATGTTTTTTCGTATATGCGGCGGCCATAAGGTCTGTTAATTATTATCCTAATTGCTTAATTTTTTGTGTGCACATTTAAAAGTGGTTTGTGTTAGCTATTGGCTAATAGAAATTGGCAAGCAATTGGTTAGCAAATTGGCAACCTTGTTGTCAGTGTTATTGTTAGTATGCCAGGCAGGGAATTTGCGCATTCCTTTCGCCTCTATTGATTGGGATTTTGTTCTGAGCTGCATTTCAATTAACGCGTCAGCATGTTAATAACATGTTCTATTCTGCATAATAATTGCACACTGCTGGTAATAGTTCACCCCCCTCCATTTCACACCCACTCACAACTACGACTTACCCAGTGAGAAGAGCATCGCTACAGTTTTTCTCCTTTTTTGTTGCTGCTGTTATTTGTTCTGAATTTTAAGTGACTTTATAACTTTTATTAAGCTGAAATATTAAAATTGCAAAGCAGTTGCAATTTTACTTAATTTTGTAGCAGCTGCCTTGCCGTAACTTGTTGAGCAGATAACGGTGTTTGCAGGATTGCGGCTGCTGTGCTTTGGTATATCAATTTAAGCTCCTCGTCCATATGGAAGCAGCGAAAATATCTGCAAAGGCAGCGACGCCCCCGCACTTTCCCCTCAAAAGCACCGCTGGAGTCAACTCATAAAAAGTTCTGTTGCCAAAGCTTTTCGTATCTAATACTAACAAACGACCCCAGACACACACACACACTTGGCTAACCACTTGTTGGACTCATTCCTTTGTTTATTTTGGCGTTTCTTAAGCATGGTCTGATACTACGAAGAATACTTACGGTTTATGTATGTCAATCAGTTGAGAAACTTAGTAAACACTAGAATATTTTAATAACAAGAGACAAGCAAAAACAAAAAGCAAGCGAGGAGACGCAAATTTTACCACAACTGAACTGATCGAAAAAACCACAATAAAAGCGAAAGCATCGCAACGTCAGCGCCGCTGTCAGCGGCATCAGCAACGAGAGCAATCAAAAGCAAATATGACCAAGCAAATAAAGCAGACTGCTTGCCAGAGTCAGTGACCGCTTATCGGAAGCTGTAATCATAAGGGAAACATGGCAAATTTAACGGGTTATTCAAGGTTGCACTTCACCTTAAGCCGATTAGTAATCGAGCCACATGGCCCTACATTTTCCCATTCATATTATTGTTTACTCATTTGGAAAAGGCGACAGTGTCGAATATCAGCTGGCTATAGAGATGAACGATACTTACTCGCACCTGTATCGCGAAATACAAGTTGATATCGCTTGTACGACAATCGATAAGTCGATATCTCAAAAGCTCTAACATCACCAACAGCAAGCAACAATAAAAACTACACTTGAATTTTATTTTAATTTATTTCAACTAAATGCAACATGCTCTCCAATCTAATTGTGACCAATCAAAAGGTCGTACTAATAATTGGTAAGTAACTTTAGGCAACTATTGGCAAAAGCATTCAAAGAACGTGTTATTTCACAATCGCAGATCAACTGAATCGCGAACGAATCGCACTGAGGTTCATTGACAGCCTGCTGCACGAGCAAGGCGAGAGCGACGAAGTGAAGTCGTTGCCAATTGGCACGCAACTCAAGCACGTGGCCAGCTTTGAGACCTTGTTGAACGAATGCAGCAACAGCAGCAACAACAATAACAATATCAGCAAAACCAATTCAACGGAGCCAATCACAAAGAGTGGCTGCAACATCATACTGCCAACGCTGGCCGATCTTCTGTGCTATCAGACACCTGCCTACATCTTTGATTTCCTCAATCGTCTCCGCCGCTCCGAGCATGTGCGTCGCGTATTCTTGTGGGCTTCACCACAGTACTTACAACATCCCGATGCCGACTACATTCTAGCCGGCTGTGAGTATCTGGCGGAGTTGGTGCTGCGCCTGGAGACGGATACAACATTGTCGCTGATAACGCGTAAGCCAGGTGGCGGCGTCAGCAACAAACGCTTCACGTGCCAAGTCAGCAAGACTGAGTTCCAAGTGACGCCGCTCACAGATGCCACTGATGCTAGTGCTTCAGCTGCCGCCTTGAAAATCCAGGACGATGGCGTTCCAGCTTCTGATCCCGGTGGCACCTTTAAGATCGAACTGGATGAGGATGAAGTTGTGGCGCGCAATGCGCTCACATTGCCATATGAACGGTGAGTTGAAGCAGCTTCCTAAAAATCTATTCCTTATAATCAATCAATCGGTTTGCAGCATCAACGAAGCGACTGAGGGCAACATCATTTATACGCCCGATGCCGATGATGATTTTGATGATGAGGATCCGGATGAGGATCTGTTGATCTAGAAATGTGCTTGCACACCAAACGGCAGTACAAATGGCCTTGGCTTTAAATATTTAAGTCTAACATACAAAAATATACAAACAAAAAGAAAGAAAAAAAAAGGAACAAGAACAAGAAATACCTGTAAGCGAGCTCAACAATTGAAATTCCAATTCCGGCCAAAATGAAAACGATTAATGAATCTTTGTAGTTGCATAGTTCAAAATTTATATACTACAATGATATATATATATATATATATATATATGTGTCCAGTGTTACAATTGCATCGCATAGTTACTTAAAACCTAACAATTTGTTTGTAATACTTTTTATTTCTTTTTGTAAAACATTCATCATTCATTCATCAATTGTGAACTGTTCGAGTTCGAATCTCATTTTCATTTTACATACATGTTACATATATCACAACATTCTATAAGAAGAAAAAACATTTTAAGGTGCGTTAAATATGTTGAATTTGAAATCGGAGTTTAGTTCGAAATACACGCAGATTACACAGAATATATTCAAGAAACACTTAAGATTAAAGAGGCAAAGCCGCAGCTTCGATGCCATTGCATAGCTCGTTGAGTGAACTCAATTGTTTTTGGGACTATCCTATATTAAAGAAAGGTAATTCTCCTATCTACTTGAAACTTGTATAGTACAAAGTGTCTGATCTGAATTCCAGTTTCGCTTTCATCTCTACAAATGCATAGGGCATATAATATTTCGGATATAATGCAATTTTCTCATGTATTGTAATACTGAAAACTATTATTATTATTATGTATTGCAAGGGCTTGCTTCCAGTTTTGTGTGCGTTGAGCAGAATATTGCTGAAATCGTTAGTTAAAAATTTTAATTGGAACTCTGAGAGATAAAAGTATTAATTTATACGATTCAAATACAGATGGTTAAAAAAACACAAACACACACAGAAATAGAGAGAAAGACATTCACAAACTATTTACACAACATAATTAACAACAAAAATTGATCAATGGTAGCGGTTACAAATGGCTATACTCCTAATGACTTTGGCCTCCACTTCGCTCCTCTCCTCTGTGCGTCCGCTTAGCGCTTGAGCAGCGCATCCATATCGCTCTTGGGGTCCATGGCCAGTGAGCTCCAGGCGGTGTCTCGACACAGTGGCAGATCCTGCAGCACATTAATCCCACTCACAATGCACGTTTCGCGCAGCTGAAAGAATTTCCCAACCAACCCATCGATGCGACTGTGCAGCTCCTGGCCAAGTAGATCCGCATTGGCCAACGCCTCTTGACGCAAAGCAAAGACATCGCTATCCGTGTGCAGATGCTGCTGCCATTCCACGGGCAGCTCAAAGTCCTCGGGCAGTGAGAGGCCCAGGCCACCGTTTTGGGCGCGTGCCGCTGCCACAGTTTCCAGTGGCGCCCCGTTCTCATAGGCCAGCGGAGCGATCAGAAACTTGAGCTGTGCATAGATGGAAGTGCGTCCAATTAACTTGGCCGTCCAGATGCCCGGTGTTAGCGGTCGCTTGAGCAGCGTTTTCGAGTGATTGATCACATCGATTTGGGCCTCTTCCACGTGCAGCTCATTGAAGTCCTGCAGTCGACCCAGCGGATCCAGCCACAGCAGCGTCAAGTTGTACGAGTGCGAGACATCCGGCGAGGCAGCAACTCCCTGATATGTATAGCTGAGCAGCAGTTCACTTTGCGGCCCCAGCAGCTTGGCGAAATTGCGCGCCACCTGTTCCTTCTGATCAAAGTCCGTGGAGACCTCAAAGTTGCGCAAACGCTTGCTGAAGCGAGCATTTCTCGCCACCTTGCCATGCTGTACGGGACGCACGCGCGTCTCCATCTGCAGCTCCTTGGAGTCGTTGCGACGCAACACATTGTAGCGCAGCAGGAAACCCTTGTACTGATCCCGATGCAGATAGTGGGTCAGCTCCAACAGCTCGACGGGTTGCAGCTTAAACTGTTGCGCCGCATGCCGCATGAGACTGTCGCCCACGGTGCGGGCCAGATCATCGCCAGCGCCGTGCTTGTCCTCATGATGGTACAGCGATTGCCAGTAGCCATGCAGATTGGCATATTCGCTGGTGTACGGCCCGTAGAGCCATTCCTCCAGCTGCAGCAACACCGCCTGATTGATAATCGGCTCGAATTTGCGGGCAAAGAACAACGATTTCTGCTCCGTCGCCAGCAGACGTGCCCAATCCTCCGGCTTAAAGTCGTTGGGGCTGCAGCCACACCAGTCCACCACATGCTTGTATTGGCACTTGCAGCCCTGCTTGCGTTTCCAGTTCGTCACGTGCAGATTGTTGTCCACATAGCTGTGGCAGTGCTGCGTATTCCGCAGCACCGTATGGAAGAAGGACTCCGCCGGCAAAAGCGTGTGTCGAAACAGCTGCAACAGCGCCTGCAACAGTTTATCCTCCTTCGCCGGATGCGTCACATAGCTGACAAACGGACGGGAAAGCGCCACCCAATCGCTGCCGCCGTCCACCTGTATCCCAGTGGGCAGTTTGCGATCCCCGATGCGCCACATGTGCGTGTCGCACTCGACGAACGTCTTGTCCAGTCCCTGCTTCTGGATGAAACGCTGCGTCTCCCGGCCATGGCCCTTGACAAAGTTGCGTCCTCGATTCGCGCTCATGAACTCCACCAGCTTATCCAGCGTCTTGACGGGAAAATCACTCTCGCTCAAATTGATGACAAAGTCCCAGGGCCAGTGCGACTGCAGCAGATCCTGCATGCACTGCATCAGCATGGTCAGCAACGAGGCACCGCCCCAAATTGTCGAGAAGCGTTTCCGTGCCAAACGTATATTGGGAAACTTTGGCTCCAGCTCCAGCAATTGACGATACAGATAATCCTGACGCTGTAAACAGGTGAGTAAAAAGATTAGTTAAGATTTGCAATTTGAGCTCTGTGTTAACAAAAGAACTTTTATCTTAACAATAATCTATATCTCTATATATATATATATATATTTATATATATATATGTCATGTCTTATTTAATAGAGTAAAGATCTGTTAGCTTTTAAGATGTTCAGATAAGGATTGATAATTTATAGCAGACACTATCTGATTTTGACTGGATCAGGTGCTTATCTTCGATTACATATATATCTATATCTATCATACCTTATGCAATTGTGTAACAACTAGTTAATGATTATTTAAAAACATTTGTTTCGTTTCTGTTTACTTTGCATTCTTCCACGGAATATTTGCTTGCACAGCAGCAGCGAGGCGTCAAATTCCGCTTAATTAGCACAAGTCGCGAGGCTCGTTGATCGCTTTAATTGTGAAATCCGGTCGATTCCACCCCTTCCTCTCCCACACCCGTACTCACCGCATCCACGTGTATGTAGTAGACATGCTGGGGGGCATAGAGTGCTCGGAGCAGTCGATGAACCTGGCGCAATGCGCGTCCATTCAACGTCAGTAGAAATGCAATGCGGACACGCTGCTCATCCCCCGGCGCCGGACTGCTGGCTGCCAGTTGGGCAGTGAACTCTGAAAAATGAATGAGCTATTAGATGAGATCAGCTCAATTTGGATTTGCACTCACTGGCGATGCCCGTTTCGTAGACATTCATGGCATAGAAGCCGCCGCAGATCTCCTTAGCGTTGCCCACACATTTCATGTTGCAGCTGGAGTCGGGCAGCTTGGCCGAGCTGGGCGGCGCATCGAAACCGCAGAAGCATTCGCGGGCATATTGAACGCCCGCATACGGATAACCCGATTGCAGACAGAGTTCGACGCAGCCGCTGGGGGAATTGGATGTCTTAAAGCTGGTAAAGTAGCCGGCGAGTAGGCGGGCATCCTTTTCGTCGCGATAGCAACCCAGAGATACGTTGGCCGTATGATTGCCCGCCGGGCAGCTGCTGTGCAGGTGTGTGGCATAGAAGCGCCCCGCTTGAATGGCACAGGCGATTCGGGCGATATGTTGACGGCAGTCTTTCGTCTTGGCACGCTGCAGTGCCGAGATTGCTTCCTTGGCACTGATAACACAATCGGGCTCGAAGCCCAGTTCCTCTGCCGTGAGGCGAAAACTCTTGCTGCTCTCCGGGGGCGCCTTTACTGGCTCCGCTGCCGATGGAACCGCTCCCTCGTGAAGATCTCGCTGGTTGCGTTGCAGTGCGCCCGCCAAATCAATGTCCACAGATTTGTAGGCGAGAAACAACTGAATGGCAATGATGAAGAGAAGTATTACGAAGAAGGCACGATAACGTCGCAGCCATCGCACCGAGAGCGAACTTGGCGACTCCATGGCCATCTGTGGCCTGTTCTCTTGCTGACCCGTCGTTCGCTTGAAATGCTTGTGGCGCTACTCGTGCTACGGCTGCGATGCAGTGGCATGTCCAGCGTTTCTTTGGTTCTCCTTGCGAGCAGCCGTTGGCTTGACTGACACGTACGGGGAGTATTGATTGCGAGCGATTAAATTAAGTGCATTTCACTTAAAGCACTCCCGCATTTTACTGCTACAAAGCTGATATCGTATGCATTTATCGATATTTACAAACATTATTTACGGTATTCAGCTGTTGGCGGTATTCCCACAAGCGAATAAAGTAAGCAGAATATCAATATTATAATTTAAGTGGTTTTAAGTGGCAGCCGTAAATAAGAACTGTTATTTAATGTGAGAAACTAAACTGAACACAGAAATTAAAAACTAATTTCAATTAAAAGTCGCTGAAATAAAGTACCAGTTACTGGCACAAGTGTACCAAATGTGGCAACAGCCGGTAATCACCTGCTGCAGTGTGACCATACTTAATTAGTACATATTTACCCTTAGAGGTTTGGAAATTATCAAGATAATAAAAAACAAAACAAGCCGAGTAGCCTTTGTCCCAAAAATTATATGTACACAAATACAACGTATAACTTGTTTAGAATTTATTTAATAAATTGTACCCACTTCCGGGATCTGCATACTAGCATCTAAACCAAGAAGACAACAAGAATTGTTCACAAAAAAAGATACAAAAATGGTTGATCCGAACCGCAAAATCAATCGACTTTCGGACAAAGACACAAGTTTCTTGGACGAGTGTGAGGCGGAGTTCGCATTGCGCTACACAACGGACGATGTCGAATTTATGGCACATTGTGCTAAGGCAGATCCTGAGCCGCCACTAGTTGAGAACTGGATGGGAGGAAGGGGAGGAGGAGGCGGCGGCGGCGGAGGAGGAGGAGGAGGAGGAGACCGGGCAGGAGCCGGTTTCTCTGGCCAGTATAATAATCGCTATAATGGCGGCCAGCGGCGAGGAGGCGGCGATCGCGGCTGGCAAAGACGCGGTGGCTACAACCATTACAAAGATCGAGGCTTCAGAGGTGACTAATGGGGAATTGAATGGAATTCAGTTGATATCAACTTCTTTTTTTTCAGATAATCGTCGTAATCGCAATGAACCTTATCAGCGCAGGGATCGAGGTGGCAGCGGAGGCGATTTCAATTCGGAGCGTCACATGGAATATAGGAATCGCAATCACAATGAGCCAGCAGCGCCACAAAGCGGTTCCCCTATGAAGGTCCGGCGTGACTATGGCAACTTTGTGCCAGCGTCCAAAGATTAGTGTTTAGCTGCAACTGTTCCACTTGGTTATCATTATAAGCAACACACACACACATGAATATATTTTTAGGTGTATATTTCGAGTTGAATGCATAAAATGTTGACTGTATTCTTAATTTGTAGCTGATGTGTTTTGCTCCTAGACAGCCGACTCGGAGAGATCCTTGGGCTTATCATCGGCGGCTGGCGCTGTGGACATGCCGACGCCCATGGCATTGAATAGATTGGAGACGGGTCCGGCGCCGCCCATCTGTGACTTGTAGCTGTCCATCATATTGCGCAGCGTGTTCACATTAATGTTGATCGGCTCAAAGTCCTCGATGTCATCGAAGTCATCCTCGGCCGCGTGGTGAGGCGAGGTGTTGTTGCTAGTCCCACTCTTGCCGTGGAAGGATTTGCCAACCGTGGTCTGTGCTAGCTCGCGATCCATTTGCTCCATGTACGCCTTGATGTTGCGATCCAAGCGATAATTATCATCGCCGCCACTGGCACTGGCGCTGGACAACGCATCGAAATTGCGTTGCAAATCGTCCTCATCCGCGTAGTCACTCATATCGGAATTGGAGTCCCAGTTGTCCTCGGGTATTACAAAGTCCAGAAAGTTGCGTACATGAGTGCTGTCCTGTTCATCCGACTGGATGAGGGAGTTGCGCTGACAAGCCTTCCGCATCGAGGCGCTCTTCTTCACCTTGGCTGCATGGCTGCTCGAAGCACTCGATGCTGACTTCGACTTCGGCGGCGGTGGCGGCTCATCATCGTCCGAGTCCAGCTCATCGTTGCCGGCTTCGCCCGGCATTTCAATGCCCTCAAAATTGGACTGTTGGTCCAAGAATTGCGAGAGATGCTTCGTGAATTCAGCGGCATTCATATCGCCATTGGGATTGTATAGCTTTTGGGGTCCATAACGTTGCTGCAGCATGGCATCCAGGTCCTCGGCACTGATGTTCAGCCAATCATCTGCATCGCTAGGCAGCAGATTGTTCTCCTCATCGCGCAACTGTTCCGCGGCGCTGCTTTCGCCCGTGTGGAGCAGTAGATCGACGATCTCGGCTCCCACCAGCGGCGCAGTGCGAAAACGTGTCTGATTAGACTTGAAGTACTCCTTGGCAGTTGCCAGCAGGCGCACATACTCGGCACTGCCCTCAACGTTGTCCCGGAAGTAGCCCTTCGATTGCAGACTACGCAAATAGGCACGCCAGGCTGTTGACTTTTCATCCGCCTCGTCGCCCGCACGCTTCGCCTGACTGGCCAGTATCTCTAGACCGCTGGCAAGCTTAACGCCCAGCAGCTGTTCCTTGTGGGCCTCCGGTTGGGCCACAGCGTCCGTCAGCTGCCAGCCAAGACGCCGTTCCGGCGTATACTGGTTGTGCATTAGCATTGCATACAGACAACGAGTGAAGGCGACATTTGTGCGCTTGCGCGGCGACTCCGGCGGAAAATAGCGCATCGTACGCAATGCCTTTGTGTCCAATGAGTCGCGATCGCAGAAGGCGCGCACAGCCGATGCCACCAGACCGGGTCGCTGCTTGAGCAACTGGGCCGCATTCTGTGGCAACTGCACAATCTGACGATGAATGGATGCATGCGGCTTTGCCGCCAGAAACTCCTGCAAACGCGAATCAATGCAATTTTGTATATCGCGAGAGCAGCGAAAAAGCGTGGGATTGAGGCGGATGCGTTGCACAGCGCTGGAAATAGGCATGCGCTTGCTCTCGCTTTCGCTGGTGGTCGCTGAATTCTGCACCAGCTGCAGACCCCCATTGACGATGTAGACGCGCTGCTCACAGGTCTCTGGACTGGCCCAGTCGGGCAACACATCTGCAGCCTCGATGAGTAGAAATTCGCCATCAGCATCGCTGACGCGCACAATGCAATCTGGCCGGGAGCGGGTCAGTTCGCCCAACAAATAGACAATGAACCACTCGTCCCCGATGTTGTCGCCGTAGTGTGTCACGCCATGTAAATGGGGTGGCAGGGCACCTAAAATGAGCACCACAAAATGTGTTAGAGGCTAAATATAGATGCATAAATATTATGCATTTACCATACGTCTCCGTCTCCTCTTCCTCCTGCTTGTTGTTGTCTTCCTCGTTTAGCAAACATTCTTCGGCGCTGCCCGTGCGTGTCAGCAGCTGAAATTCATCCTTGTGCCAAATATAACAACGATCGCTTATCTTCTTCTCCACAATGGCCAGGCATTCGACACGGACTAGCTCTAGCTGCTGACGCACTTGCTCCTCATCGCCCCCATCGCTTAGCTTGGGAAATATGTAGTACTCGACGAAATCATCTTCGCGCACAAACTCCAAGTTAGCACCTGGCAGCTTGTTCATTGTTCTCGTTGCCTTTGTTTCGCTTCGCTTTGCTTTCCTTTGTTTTGTTTTGGTTTGGTTCGTTGTGACTCAGAGTCAGCCTCGGGCCAGACGCGTGTGTATCCCTTTTGGCTATCAATTGGTAGCGAAAATGTTGCCTGGCTTGATAAGTATTTAGCAAAATCTACTCTTGGCACGTATTGCGTTTATTTTTGCACAATTTTTCATTTATTACTTGCAAAACAAAGTTTTTTTTCCTGGAACGGGAAGCTGATGCTGTTGCTGTGGCCACTCGCAATATATCGAACGATTATCGATAACGATGACTATCGCTTTTAGTTTTTCTTGTATATCAACTTCAAATGCAGAAAACAATAACTTTTAATAGATTTTTAAAAGACGGGGATAGAGACCATTTAATATTGAACATTACACACTTTGAACACCTATCTTAGTCGACATATATATGTATGTATATAAATATTAGAATATAGCACTTTGGCCACAATTTAAATGCTTCTTGAGCTACTTAAATGTTAAACTGCAGTCGGTCGTCAATAGAAATATTCATATTTCTGGGCATGCAGCAGCATCACCTCCATCGCCTTCTTGCCCTGCAGCACCCCGTTGCGCTCCATGTAGTTCCAAATGGAGGCCATGAACACACAGAACAGAATAACGCCAAACACAATAAACTTGAGCAACAGATAAATAGTTCCCAATCCAACAGGTGCAGAAAATTCGCAGAGCAGCACGAGAAGCACAAGGAGAACAGTTGCCGCACTGTAGTACAACAAGCGATCCGTATTCAATTGCAAGAGGGAGGAATCGCATAGAGTGAGTGCCTCAGTCAGGGCTGCGGTGCGTGCAGCGGGCAAGGATGACGAGCAGCTCATGCTTTCGCCATTGGCGGCTGGAGCGACATCACCATTGGCACCATTGGCTCCCGGATCGCCACAACCTTGCTCCTCCTCCTGTGTGATGTGGCACTCCACTTGCTCGATGTCGACAGGAGTATTGTCAGTCAGTCGTGTCAGCCTTACTTTAGCCAGAACAGCTTCGTGATCCGAATAGCTGAACTTTTGTCCAGGCACGCGATCCGGAAACGGTAGCGTATATTCGGCAATCTCAGCCTGAATATGATCGGCACTCCTCACGAATATATGATCGATCCTGATGCCCAGTGGATTCTTGGCCAGCGCACGTTTCGATGTGTACGAGTTCCGGGCACACTCATTCGTTCGGAATGCGTCCGATGCACAGCTGTCCTGCATCTTCGAGGTGTAGAGGAGCACCTTGTATGAAATGTCCTGCGGCTGCGTATTGAGATCACCAGCCAAGATCTGGAGCACACAATTGCCACGTGTCGCCTCGATAAACTGGGCCGTATCGAATGCCTGAATAACCCGATGCGTCTTGTAATCATCATTGTCGTTGTCGTATTCCGCATGCAGATGCGCATTGTACAGATGAACGATTTGATCGCCGACCAGGATGCGAGACAGACCCACTCCCTTGCCGCCGAACCAGTCCGCATGCTGGATGCGATGGAAATAGCCGTTGACGGACCACGCATGGAACAGCGTACCCAATATGGGATACTTTGAGAGCACCAGCAGTCCGGCACCTATCACGCCGCTGTGAAAGTAGTGGGAATAGGGAAGAACACTGGATGTCCCCTGCTGCAGTTGCTCGCTGTCGTGCTGGGACCAGACCTCCTGTAGGGACACAACATCATATTGGCCGCCGCTGAGCTCCTTACATATGGCCTCGATGCGTGGCGCTCGGTGACTGGAAACTAATGGAATACCCCTGGAATTATAATTGGATTTTCGCGACGACAAACAAAAACAATGCCAAGGCGATTTAGATTCGGCCGCGTGACCAAATGGGGGGAAAACAATTAAAAAACACACTCACCAAATGTTCAATGTTAGTATTTTCAGCTCCAGCAGCAGCATTGTGATATGTGTTGAGTTCGCCGTGTTTCTGGCATTCGCATTTGCTATCGCTGGCGCACAATGTACGGGCGAAGCGGCGATAAGATTAAATTTTGTTGCCAAACAAAATAAAATGATTTGCGCACTTTAAAGCGCTCACTTGAAGTTGGCTGCGCGCCGTTATGCGCCCGAGTGCAACGCATTTTCATGACTCACGTGAAGTTGGCTGCGCGAAACTTTCAGTTTTATAAACAAGCAAAAAAGCACATGAAACGAGTGATTTAATTCAAATGTAGTTGGAAGTCATCGCAAATCGAGAATAAATATGGCACGAACCGAGCTGGAAATAAAGAAACAAAAACGTAAGGCCAAAAAACGTAAGCACGAAACACAGGCAGCTGGCAGCGACGACGAAGTGGCCGACAAAAGTGTAATTGTGGAGGAGCAGCAGGTGGCAAGTGAATCGCAAATGGAGCAAGATGCCCCACGAAAAGGTAAACTAAATAATTAAATAAATATATAGCCAGTTATTCAATGAGTTCCTCCTGATTGCAGTCAAGGCATCCAAGCGAAAGCAACAGGTGGAGCAGCCCGATGTTATCAAAGAGAAACGCAGTAAGTCAACAGATGACAACAAAGATGCTGAAGATGACCCGGAAGACATGCCCACAGCTGATCAACTGGCGGAGGCAGCCAAGCCGGAGAACTCAAATGCCATTGTTACGGTACGCCAGAAGAAGAAACAAAAACATTTGCAACGGCTCGAGGAGAAAAAGTATCAGAGCTCTGACAAAGAAGCCAAGCGTAATGAGGAATATCTTGTTAAGTGGCGGGACTGTCGACAGGATTGGAAGTTTGTGAAACTACGACAGATATCTATACAACAGAACGCCTTCAATGAGCAAAAGCTGAACGCAGATATCTGGGCCATTGCTTTGGAGTACCTGGCGGCGTCGAAAGGTGCCTCAAAGACAACCGTCACAAAACTGGCCCAGGACGCCATCGAGCAGATGGACAAACAGTGCGAGCTGCTCACCGACGAGGCGGAGCGCCAGGCCATTCTGGATTCAACGCGATATCAGCGTGCACGCAACCTGTTGCAGAGCTTCGATTAAGCGTTAGGTTTTATTAGTTTCGATATACAAATTATATATGTAGCGAGAAATGCGTTTTTGTTAATGTTTAGGATTTAATGAACAAAGTAAACGAGTTTTATTTACAAATCTACATAGGCCAATAGTTTATCCAGATGCTCGATGCGCTGCCTCAGCAGCTGCTGTTGCTCCTCAGCGTGCTCCTCCAGCTTGGCCAGCATAAAGTGCTGCATAAACAAACGGATGCTCTGCTTGAACTGCTGCAGCTTCGAGTTCTTCGCAATGCGCTCGAACGCCGAATAGATTTGATTCTCCTCGCTGCTGAGCAGCAGACGCAGCATAATCTCGCGCATGAAATAGAAACTGAGCTTGTGGAGCTGCATAAAGTCAACAACTTTTAGGACGGACAACTGTAGACCGGCGGATAGGATGAGCTGCTGGAGAAAGCTGGCCAGATTGCGTATCCGTGCCTTGGACAGCGTTTCAATGTCATTGATCCGATCCCAGCTGGCGAATTGAAATGCGAGCTGGAATTTGCGATTGTACTGACAGAATTTCAATGCTAGATGCGCATAGTAAGGATTCGCACGACGCTCGTTAAGGGCACAATGTATGATCACATAGGCAACCGTGCGCTGATCCTTCAGTGACAGATGCAGAATCTTTTCAAAAGCATCCACATAGTCGGCGGCGCTCATGATGATGCAGAAGATATTGCGCCTCTCTGCGGTGTTCATATGCTGCTTCTTGGCCAGTTCGAGCAGCTTTTCTGAGTAGCGTTCACCTCCTGGTTGAGGGCGTTGCTTCTCCTGCTCCGCCTGAGCGGAACCCATCTCGGCCAGATTGCCCGCCCATGCGGAACCAACAATCCACCATTTGCCCAGCTTATCTGCACGCAACAGATCCTCCAGCGTAATATTCAGTGTGACAACATAGCGCTCATTTTTCAGCATTCCCTTGAGACGCTTGCGCAGATTCTCTGCCAGCTCGGGATCATACTGGGGCAACTTGCTCATGTTGTTGTTTTTTACAGCGTTCAGAATGTCCACCATGAAACGCAGGCGGGGATTCTCCTTAAGCTCCAGCGGCGATGAAGCAATCTGTAACTGGACATTCTGCATCATGTTTTTAAAGGCCAGCGGATCGTCTTTACGCAGACGAAAGCCGACTGTTTGGAAGATCAGCAACAGACATTCCACAGACTTCTCGCACAGACTCCCGGCAAGTCGGGCAATAAGCTCCAATAGCAGACGCTGCTCGTAGATCTTAAACATATACATATAGCAGAGGATCAGTACCAGATTATTGAGACGCTTATCCTCCAAGTCCAGGGAGTCAATCTCCTTGACATAGCCATCAAATTGTTCGACGAAAGTTTGCAGAAAATGCGCACCAATCTCACTGCCAATGTGCGCATGCAGATAGGACAGCAGCACCATGTGCTCTTGCACCATACGCTCGTTGGCGCGTGCCCGACCCAGAAGCGCCTCCTGCAGCAGTTTCGTCAGCGTGTCGTTCATGTTGTAGCGCGAATTGTTCATGTAGAGCGACTCAACGCCACTGGAAATCTTGTGCAGATTCGCCTCGGAAAGACGATTGAGCAAACCCTTGCATTGCTTCTGCAGCCGAGCCATTTGCTCCGACTGCTGGACACTGGCACCCTCGCTGGCGGCCAGCAGAGCACGCTGATGTGGTGGTATGTACTTCTGACCGGTGCCCTTCGCCTCCATCTCTCGCTCATCCTGCACAATATTGCCATCGGCATCGCGACGTCGTCCGTAAATGTCCTCTTTGACTGTAAATAGATTGGAAAGTCATCATTAAAGGACGTAAAAAATTGAAACAATTTTGCATACATTTCGTTTGTTGTGCCTCCTCCTCGTTTTCACTATCAGATCCCTTATCATCCTCATCCTCGTTCTGCTCCATGTCACTTTGATCCGTCAGATCTTCATCGTCGCCTTCTTCCATTTCGCCATCTGCCTCTGGTATGTCCATTGGTTCATCTTCCTCCTCGCTCCACATGCCTGCCTCTTCCTTTTCCTGGCGCTCCTTGAGCTCCTTTTTCCGTTGCTGTTTCTCCTCCCACTTTTGTTTCTCCTCGTCATCATCCAGTACGAAATCGAGCAGATAGTCCAGACCATCGTTGAACATTTTGCGCACTAAACGGTTCTTATCCTTGGATTTGTTCAGCTTTAGCTTCTTCTCCAACTTGGCAATCTCCTTGTCCTCCTCCACGTTTTCCAGTTTCATTTGCTTAACGCGCTGCTTGCGCGACTTAGTTAGCAGCTCCTTGTGCTGGCGCAGCTCTCGCTTGCGTGCTGCCATTTCGTCGACTCGCTGGATGCCAGCGTGTTTCTTGGGCGGTTTCTGGCCAAGCGGCTCAAATGTTTCTACTTTGCGTGCTGGCGGCAAACGGGCATCCACTTCCGCATCACTAAAATCTGAGCCAATGGATTCATCGTCATCCTCATCCACCTCGCCCGCCAGCAGCTCTTCGCGAGGAATCTCCTCCGGTTTCGCATGCTTCTTTTTTGGTTTCCTCTTCCTTTTGGTTTTGCTTGTCACTGCCAACGCAGCCGCAGCTGCCTCAGCTACGCGCTGCGCTCCATTTGTTTTGGACGCATGGAAGATTCTATTGTTGTTCTTTTTGGTCTCTTGTTTCAGTTTGCGCTGTTCCTTGCGGCTGAGCGGCTTCTGCTTCTGCTTTTTCAGCTTGACCATGTCAACAATTCAAAACACCAATAAAATTTCAAGTGTTGCCAAATCAGCTGTGCACAACACGTGTGTGGGATATTTTAGTGCTTTTTTCCTGTTTTAGTTTAGTACACTTTCCAGGCTAAACAGCTGATTTATTTCTTATGTTGCTCAATTGTAATTTTTTTTGATAGTTTGTCTAAAAGATAACTTTTGTGAAATGTCAACGCGGTGGTATCCAATTTATCAACGTGGTAATCCGCAGCTACGCGTCTTCTTGCCAAACTTTTGGATGAAACTGGTGCGACCCACCGAGGATCAGCCGGCAAATGTTGTCACCTTTGCTGTATCGACGGAAATGACGAAACACGATGTTAAAAACTACCTAGAAAAGATCTACAAAGTGCCTGTGGTCGATGTGCGTACACGAATCGCATTGGGCGAGACCAATCGTGATCTGACCTACGGCTATGTGACCAAAAAAGATGATGTCAAATTGGCTTATGTAACCATGGTGAGTATGAAGGCGAAGCTAAAATATTTTAAGCTACATATTCATCTTTTCCCTTGCAGCCCAAAACGGAAGCGTTTACGTTCCCAGATCTCTTTGCGAGCAAGGGAGAGAAACAGGAGAAGGATGAGAAGTCAATGGATGAGTCAAAGGAGGGATTTCGCCGATTTCTGGATCGCAATAAGAAGAGACCCGGCACACCAGGCTGGTTCTCCATTTAGGCACTTAGTTTACATAATAGTTTAAGCTGTTTTTGCAACGAGTAATAACATTTATTATGAAAAAAGCACAACAAACTTAAAGCTTTTTGTGTACATTTTGGATTGCTTGCGGCTGGATTTCATCATCCCCTACTGCTTTGCATTCTTGACTGCTGTGGCAACCCAAGCGCGTATCTTGTCCTCATCCTGGAGGCCCACCATGCGCTGCACTTCCTTGCCGTTCTGCATGATCACTAGCACGGGAACGGCAGCCACATCGTAGTCCAGCGCCAGTTCACTGTGCTCATCGATGTCTACTTTGGCCAGTTTAATTGAGCCCGCCTGCTCGCCCACAATGCCCTCGATGCGCGGCGTCAATAGCTTGCAGGGATTACACCATCTGAAAGAGAGAAAGAGTTTTAGTAGTGGAATTTGCTAGTCAAATTCGACTTACGTTGCAAAGAAATCTACAATAACTGGCTCCTGGCTGTTCTTCACTTTCTTTTCGAAATCCTCGGGGCTTTGCACTTTGAAGATTTCCCACTTCTGCTGTGTCACGGAGAATGCACGGTGGCTGCGCACCTGTCGCGTCACATTTCCCAGCAGATTTATCACTTGCCTTTGCATTTTTGCTTAGATTAGATGCGATCAAAAGTTACGAGCGAGATTATAATATATTTTTTATAGCTGACGGCACAGCTAAAAGTGGCGTTACCAACACTCACAAAACAGCTGTTTTCTCTTCTTATTTTTATGTGTATACCAGTGTGACCAGAATATGAACATACAAATATAAGATAAGTTCAATACACCTGAGTTCAAAATACCCTTCCATACCACTGCCAATCCACTATAACTGCTGCTTAAGAATCTCTTTCAATATCTCAAATCTTCTTGGCTTTACCTATCAAGTTATCATTGAAATTATTAGTTATCAAATTAAAGCTAGATATAGCAGAATTGTGCTGGTGGATGTGTTACACATTGCTTGCACAAATTTAAGCATATTAAATAGAGTATATATAAATACCAAGAGTGACCATTTTACTTTTGATAAAGAATACAGAATAAAGGTCGAAAGTTTTCCAAAAAAATACCAACACACATACAGACATGCGCGCGAACACACACGCACACACACTGTAACACGTACTTGCATCGAGCATTAAAAAAATTGCCATATATCAAAAGTTCAATTGATTCGATTGCATATTAAAAATCAAATTTCAAGTGTTTGTTGTACAATCGGGGTCTGATCAAGACTTTGTCCACGAGTGAGCATTGTGCGAATTTAAAGGTTCATCGATACGGAGCGCATTAAATAAAGCGCCTCGCCAACTGCGCAAATGGCAGTGGAACAGTAGAGGAGACAGCAGACGATAGACGAGATAGACTAGACGACAGACGACGGACGACAGAAGTAGCACGATGGATGATCTGTCGCAGGGCGACATTTGTCGCGTTTGCCGCTGTGAGGCGTTGCCCGATCGACCGCTGTTCTATCCATGTATCTGCACGGGCAGCATCAAGTACATTCACCAGGATTGCCTGATGCAATGGATGCGTTACTCGCACAAGGAATATTGTGAGCTGTGCGGCCATCGCTTCAGTTTCCAGCCCATCTATGCGCCTGATATGCCGCGCGTGCTGCCGCTGCGCGATGTCCTCGTGGGCCTCATGTCCGCCGTATTTGAGGGCGCCCGCTGCTGGCTGCACTACTCACTGGTGGGCATGGCCTGGTTTGGTGTGGTGCCACTGTCGGCATATCGCACCTATCGCTATCTGTTCCGTGCCAATTCGTTTGATATGATTCTCTCGCTGCCCTTTGACATCTTCTCCATGGATAATCTGACGGTGGATTCATTCCGCGGGTGTTTTGTCGTAACATGCACGCTGTTGGCTTTCATTGGCTTGGTGTGGTTACGTGAGCAAATCCTACACGGTGGCGGACCCGATTGGCTTGAACGAGATGAGGCGCCAGCAGCTGCAGCAGCCGCCGCAGCAGCAGCAGTACCAGCGCCTGTGCCTGCAGCAGCACCCGCTGCCGTTGTGCCCGAAGCGGCGCAGGATGACAACAACAATGGCGATGCACCGCAAGATGTGCCCATGGATAATGAAGCGCCCGCCGTGGCCAATCCGGCGGATAACGAAGGTGATGCTGCACAGCCGGCGGCTGCGGCCGCTGCAGCACCTGCTGCCAGGATCGCAGCTGGTGCTGGGGCTGCTGCCGATGTGGATAACGATGAACAGAACTGGAATCCCATGGAATGGGATCGTGCCGCCGAGGAGCTAACCTGGGAGCGTTTACTTGGCTTGGATGGTTCGTTGGTCTTCTTGGAGCACGTCTTCTGGATCATCTCGCTGAACACCATGTTCATCTTTACGTTCGCCTTCTGTCCGTATTGCGTGGGCAACTTCATACTGAGCTCCATGGATCTGCTACAGCCGGAGAAGCCATTGCTCCATTTCCACGGCATGATCACGACGCTATTTGGCTACTGTTGCATCGGACTGACGCTGGTCGTGCTTCACTTCTTTGCACGCGTCTTTCGGATGCGTCGCATCTGCTGGTTCATTGGCCTCTGTTACATTGTGGTGAAGGTATCGCTGCTGTCCGTCGTGGAGATTGGTGTGCTGCCGTTGATCTGCGGCTGGTGGCTGGACATCTGTTCGCTGCCGCTGCTTGATGCCAGCTTGAAGGATCGCAAGGCGAGCTTTAAGGCTGCACCGGGCACTTCAATCTTTGTCCACTGGATGTTTGGCATGGTGTATGTCTATTATTTTGCTGCCTTCATATCGCTGCTGCGCGAGGTCCTGCGTCCCGGTGTCCTTTGGATCTTCCGCAACGTCAATGATCCCGATTTTAGCCCCATACAGGAAATGATTCATGTGCCCATTGTACGCCATGTGCGCCGCCTGGTCGCCTCCGCGATGATCTTTGGCTTTGCTGTGCTGCTCATGCTGTGGCTGCCCATTCGCATCCTCCAGGTGGTTTGGCCCAATTTCTTGCCCTATGCCTTAAGCGGCGACTCCGAGGTGAATGATTTGAGTCTGCAGCTGCTCTTACTACAGGTGAGCATTATCTGAATTCTATGGTTTCCTCCTGCTAATGATTCCACTTGCAGATTGTGCTGCCCGGCTTCTTTGAGCAAACTCAAACGCGCACATGGCTAAAGAGTTTATTGCGCATCTGGTGCCGGGCTGTCGCCTGGCTGCTGGGCATACGCAGTTATTTGTTGCCCGCTCCGGAGCCGCCAGCTGATGCTGCTGAGCCAGCTGCCGATCCTGTTGCTCAGCCCGATGGAGCGGCTGGAGCTGCTGTTGCTGCTGCACCGCCAGCACCACCGCCAGCTGTACCGGAGCCAGCAGCGCCTCGTAACTTGGCTGCCGCTCATCAGGCGATCATGCAGCGTGATGTACCCGTCGGATTCCAGCCCTACGAACGTCCCACATTCTTTGTGCTGCGCCTGAGTGCACTGCTTACGCTGATGTGCTTCTCCATAATGTGCGCCGCCATGCTGATGCTTACAGTGCCCGTCTATATTGGACGTCGCCTAATGATGGCTTGGACGGGACAGCCGGGCGATAAAGCTGCGCCGATTGTGGCAGGCGATGTGCCTCTGGCCGATCCGGAGGCAGCACGTAAGAGCGAACGTATGCTGCGTCCCCATGAGCTCTACACGGCTGAGATTGGTGGCTATCTGTGCTGGATTGTGTCGCGTGGGATTGCTGTGGTGGTAACACTGTTGCCCCAGGGACGTACTGCCATTGTCAACAAGCTGAAGCATTGGGCACGCGTTGCCCTTCAATATGCGCTGCCAGTTTTGACGCTGCTGGGTATCTTTGTGCTGGTCCCGCTGCTATTTGGATTGGTGCTGGAGCTGGTTGTGGTTATACCGTTGCGTGTCCCGATGCTCCACACGCCCATACACTTTCTGTGGCAGGATTGGGCACTCGGTGTGCTGTATACCAAAATCGCCATAGCAGTTACATTGATGGGACCGGATTGGCATCTGAAACGTGCCCTGGAACGCGCCTATACGGATGGACTGAGGGATTTCGATTTGAAGTTTGTGATGAACGATCTGGCGGTGCCGGTGGTGACCACCCTTGGTCTAGCATTGGCCATACCATATGTGCTTAGTGAATCCATAATACCCATGTTCGTTGCCGATCCGAACGATCGTATTATCGTCTACCGATTGGTGTATCCGTTGAGCGCCATTCTTGTTAGCAGCATTTGCTTTGTGCTCTTCCAGATAAAGCAGCTGAAGAAGCTGTATCTGTCGATTAAGGTGGACAAGTATCTAGTGGGTCAGCGACTGGTCAACTATGAGCATCGCAAGAAGCAGCAGGCCGCCCAGGAAAAGGCCCGCTTGGAGGCGGAAGAGGCGCGCCTGGCACAGGCACAGGGAGAGGATGACGCCAATCCCCCCATGGATTTGGCGGAGCAGGCGGCGTTACATGCCCGACGGCGACGCCAGCAATTGGCACGCCCCCTCCTTGTGGATGCCAACGAAGAGCTGCTCTAGGGTTACGTTTACTTTATGTGCATGTTGCTAATGGAGTCTCTGCTGATATATCTATTTTTTAAAAACATGCTCCCGCCGGAGCGGTACATGTAGGCAATAATGTGCCCACGCCCCTTGCATGTGCCACACAAAACAACGGCATTCAGCATCCTGCATCCTGGACGAAGTAGCCGCAGAGTTCGCTTCTTATTTTCAAGTTAAATTCAACTTGTTTTTATACGTTAGCCAAAATTGTTTGTTAAATCGATTCGCTTTTAAGTCCCTAAACTTTACGATAATTTAAGCCAGGCAGATATTTAGCCAATAATCACCATCTGATTGCAACACTTTACTGATTTACTATACATATACGATATATGCACGTGAAACTTTTCGGTTGCTTTGTAAAAAGTCCAAGTATGGCTTAAAAATAAACTATAATGATATGATATATAATAATGGCGATTCATAATTAATATATATGTAGAGAGAATTACCTTGTATTAGGATCTGATACGCGATATATATGTATGTTCGAAGAATATTTAAAAAAAAATGATTTAAAAAAAACTAAAGAATATTTCAAATAATAACTTGGTAAATGTGGTGAAACCTTTTGAGTAGATTTACGAACTTGTAAAAATTATATATGTATGTATACATTTAATATTAAATCAAATACAATTATAAATAAATAAATGTAACTTTAAATTTCAATGGAAAAGAGTTGTTTCATTGTAGACAATCAAAATGTTAAAAGTTGCGCGTTCTTTGTTATTTTTATACTCTTGTAAAGGGTATTAAAATTTTATCGTGACTTGTGCAACGCAAAGAAGGTTACCAATAGAGCATATATAGTCGTGATCAGCATTACTTGAAGTTCAATTTAATATTAAAGTTGTGCGCTCTGAATAGGCGTAATCACACATTTTATATGTCAGCAGATTAACTTCGGTCTACAAGGATATCTAATATTTGATTCACTTTATAAAAGTACCGCGTTTGTAAATTTAATTCTCTTGAAGAGTTGAAATGAAACTAACAAAATGAAGACGTAACCATAAATTTCATGGTACCCGCCAAAAATTTGTGAAATGGGTATCATAAATTTAAAGAGTTGAAATGAAAGTCTAACTAAACAAATGTGGCATTTTCATTAAAAACTCTGGACTTGTAACTACAAAAAGACTTGTAACTGAAAAGGGAGTCTTATATTGTATGGAGCACACATATTAAGATTAATTTTTGTTATTTTTTAACTAAAAATGGAAATTACTATGAATGGATTTATGTATACATTAGCTGGATACGGGGTATCTTAGTCCAGCATGTTATGCGCTCCAGCCATGCTATGTACAACAAGTACTCGCGCATTTATACCAGTGTAAGTGTATATATATATAAATCACATATACCTAAGTATACCAAGTACTAGCTCGAGCCCAAAAGGTCAATTTAACAAATCAGAGAACACGCAAAATAAACAGTCTACTATCCGCTGGCGTATGCCATATGGCTTGTTATCTGCATTTCTGGCCCAAAATATCGCCAGCCCTTTGCATTGCGAAAGGCCTCCAGCTGGGCACATTATACAATTGCCTATTGCAATTACGCTTAAAACAACATAGATAGATTGCCTGTTATAGAAGCTGGTTGTGCGTTGTATGCGCCACAGGAGCAGGGTATTGATAGCCAAAATACACCGTAAAAATATATTGAATGAATTATGCAATGATTTCCTTTGGCTGGCGTTGCTTGCTCTATAATATGGCAGCAGATTGGCCAAGTTTAAGTAATAGCGTTTAGCGGTTCATGGATTATAAATAAATTTAAAATAATATTTCTATTGTAGTTCTTAGACGTCCTAACGATTTTATCTCTTAATATTTTATGAATTTTTTGAATTAAGTTATAATAAAAAATTACAGAGTTCAAGTTACTTTTTTAACATTCATTATTCTACCAGATTAACGTTTATATAAGTAATAAGTATGAATATAAAAACATAACTTTAATATTCACTAATTTAATTTTGGCTTAATGCGTGCAGCAGTTATCACTTGCCAAGCGGTTTAACTTGAAATAATCTCTCCATGCCAGTCTAGCTGAAAGCACACTGCTCTTATACATAAACCCTTCACACAGCACATACACACACCCAACCCGTACACCCAACCACCTTTGTGTCCCATATTTTTAAGCTGACCATTGCCCATGCTGGGGTTATTTAATTTTATATCCTTTGTTTTTTGGGCCCATTCCCCCCTTCGGTCAACATGCGTATTTTATTGACCATAATCGGAAAGGCTGGCAGAGCGGCAACAACGCCGCAGCACTTAGCACTCCTTAAGTTTTACAACTTCACACTCAATCAGCGACGACAATGAAGGGCTATAAAAACGGTAACAGCTCGAACTTCAAACTTTAACCCAAGACAGTCAATGAATTAGACAAGTACGCAAAAGGTGAATGTGACCATGGCTACAAAGAGCAAATATTAAAGCAACAAAATAAGGTGTGGGCTGGAAAGGTATGAACAAGAACCAAACCAAATATAATACAAATTGAGTGAAAGCGACAACTATTTGTGCTGTGCGTTGTTGACATAGAATACCAAAAGTCAGCAAAGGACATAAGCCGCAACGGTGCCAGCCCTAACCCAAAGAAAATAAATACGTTTGTGGCCTAAACATCAACTACGTTGCCCTTTGTTACGCATCCTTTTTGATACTATATTATATATACTACTTTTAAGACTGAGTGACATTTAAAAATTGTAATTTATATTTATACAAACAAAATGCTTATTGGTCCGAATTGGGAAGACAAACGCTTGCTAAAAAATTAAAAAAAAACTAAGCCATGTAAATGCAAAGAAAGAGCATTCAGAGGTTGCCCATTTGCCGCTTGTTGTCGATTTTTGTTTCCCTTATCGTGTTGTTTTTCTGTTTGTTTGACTTGTGGTTAACTGTTTGGGATTCTTCTACACAAATTATTTTATTTTGCGTTAAAGAAATAATAAAATACGTCAACGCAAATCAAAGGCCACTTTAATGAGCATAAAAACAAGAAAAAAAAATCAGAAACCGAAACAATAGCAGCTGCAAAAAGATTAAAGATTAAACTAAAAACTTTTTGCCATGTCAACCAATATTTTTGACTAGACTTGCTGAATATTAATGGCGACAGGAGACCTCAGTGTGCGACGTGAGAGTATTTTATATTTATAAATAACTGACTGTATGCAATATTTTGCTCGGCTTATGCCCAATTTTAGACAATTAATGAAGTGTTGGCTACGCTTGATAAGAGCTGCCACAGCATCAGTAGCAGCCCAAACAACAGCAACAACAAAAAATCATAACAACAACGGGGAAATAAGTCATGCAAATGAGCGACAGTTAACTGTGCCGCCGCCTGAAGCATTCCCAAATGACACACACGCCGCGTCTGTCGTTGGTGATGTGTGGCAAGTGATAAGAGTGTGAACTCAACAGAACCCTGTGGCAGTAGCAAGGAAGCTATTACCACAAAGATTGTATGAATTTGTTAATTTTGAACAGGAAACCCAAAAGAATAAAAGGAGCCTCTGGCTGGGCTGGTGACTTGTGACTCTACAGTAAAGCAAAACTTTGGCATCGCTTTAAGTGTAAGCTTGAGAATAAACTTTTTGCCCTGTTCACAAAAATATTGGGTAAAACTGAGTTGTTAACAAAACTCTTAGACTCTGTAAAAAATTGTACGATGTAAGGAAATTAAAATTGGTAAGTAAACATAAGATGGTTATTAAAGGAGCAACTAAATTTGGCATACAGGATACTTTTTTAAGAAATCGATGCATGTATTACTGAGTTCCAATAATTCCTGGAACTTCAGACTTGCCTACTGAATATCTCCTAGTCGTATACTTCTTAAATTCATAGATATTTTTATAAAGATAGTTGATATATAACAAGCGAATTTTTGTTCGTGTTTTTGATTTATTTAATTTTTATTTTCGCACTTGCCATTATAATGTGCTGTTTATGACGGATAAATTAAATTAAGCTAGTCAGGAATTTAAACTGCATAACTTAAGCATACAATCATTTTAAGTGAGGACAAGCGCAAAAGGACATAAAATAAGCAGTTCAACAGTTCGAATTGCTGACAGTTGAATTATTTAAATGGATATTTGTTTAATATTCCAAATAAATCTCAGCAAAAGCAACAACACAATGCGAAACAGCCCAAGGAGAATTGATTGAATTTTATTTACGTAGCCATTGAGAGCATGTGGTACAGCGTTGTTAGATTGACCTCCTCAAACCAAACTTGACCCTTAGTTATGTTATGTGGCTTTTGTGGCATTTTTCGTTTGAATGCAAATACAACAACAATTATTCCGCCTGGCTGGCTTCTTGGCCCAGGTCTGCAGCCAAAATGTGGTACGTATAAGCCGTAATACTTAAAATCTCCAAAATCCACTTTCAGCAAACATTTGATAAATTTTCTACAATATTTAATATATATATAATATGTACGAAGAATCTCTGCAACTTGTGTCACATGGCGTATGCGTAATTAAACGGCATTGTGTATGCAATGAGCAAGTCGCCTGCATATTTCAAGACAGTGTCACGCATTTGCGAATTATACGAGTGCAGCTGTTATATCCCATAATTTATGGCACCATTGCCTTGGCAAGAGTTCAAGGCGTAGCTTTTATTCTACACTTAGTGCGTGAGGGTAAGAAGAGTAAGTATATGTATATTTATGTTGTGAAAAGCCCAATCAACAATATTTAAGCTTAACCGCAACAAAATATATTTAATATGAATTGGTAAAGCGATATTTATGCAGTCTGCACAACTGCAGAAGTATTTAAGTTATTCTTATTTAATTTGGTATGTGGACTGAATTAGGTTTTCCCATTTTTCACTTGTAGATACAGTGAAGGATTTAAGTTGAAATTTATCGAATGGGAAATCGTTAATCAGAAGGCTCAGCTAAACGATAGCTGATTGATTTTTTTGTTTTGACTAGCGTATTACTTTTCAAAAGCAAAACAAAATAAATCCAATTCATTCCCATTTATATATAAAAACCGATTACTTGTCTAATGGATTTCATTTGCTGAGAGCTCATCGAAGAAAATTGAAGGTGAGGTGTGTCAGTGTCAGATCTAGACTCATAAACAGGTTACAAACAGTGTCGCAAATGTTTTGTTTGTTTATATAATCATTTAGACATCAAAATGTAAACAGCTGTAGCTGACAATTAATCAATGTCCCGTCACCTTAAGAGCAGTACAATCCCTGAAAATAGCTTCACAGTGACACGGGCAGACAGAGAACATCTTGTGTTTATGTCAATCATACGCACAGTGTGACAACGCCAAAGCAATTTAACCACACGAAGAGCAATGCAATGTGGCATATGCGCAATGGCCGTTCATGCGTAGGAGTCGCTTTTGTTTGAGTATTTATCTGAATGAGGACGGCACAGGGGGCAGCCGCCGGCACAAGTTAAAGATGTAGTCTACGTTGCCTGGACAGCTAAAAAAACTGTTTATCCAACCCCACTTGAGTGGAGAACCCATTATAATCGTTCAGATATTCTTTTTAGGTTTCGTTTTTTGTTTTCGAGAGTATTTATTTAGCCTGCGGATGAACACAATGTCCTGAGTTTCTTTTTAGCTTTGTTAGACACTAACTTTGGGTATTATAAATTTGCCAAAAAGTT